CAAAAAAAAATCATAAAACATAATTTTGGCCAACCTTTAGTTCTTAATACCCTCTGTGCGCCGTTGGCGCGTGCAAAAGAAGAAATAAATAAATTTTTGTTCCCGTAAAAGCTAGAACGCCGATGAACGCTGGTTGACGGCGCCTACCTGTTTTCACTGTGAACTAGCCGATTTGATAACACGCTTTAATTTTTCAAGGTTATAAGCGCAAGGTGACACGGCGCTACTATGTACCCATATAGAGGGTGTCCCAGAAATAAGTGCAAGTATTTTAACTGGTAGTATAGTTCAACCCCAGAAACACGCCTATGAGGTTTTTTCGCGAAAAAATTTCTTGATAATATGGCAACATAGGTAGTAGATTAAATTTACAAGAAAGAAAATCCAGAAAAGATCCAGTGGTTCTCAAAATTTTAGCAAAAAATCATTTTTTTTTTTTGGAAATTTTCAAAGTAAAATAACTTCGTTATTTTGTACTTATTTGAAAAACAATAAAGAGAAAATATGTTTCTTTTATCGAGATCTACCACCCCTTAAAATACTTGCACTTATTTCTGGGACACCCTGTAAAAAACAATACACGTGATGCGTATACGCAAAGTTGCGAACGATGTCAAGAATAGGTACCCAGATCCACGCCGACTACCCGTAAGCGGGAAACCTGCTTGCACTGTGTTCGCACACTTAGAAAACAAAATAATTTTGACCGTTGCACGTTGGAGTGCCTTTGTTCGGCGATTTCTGCATCGCCTACTATCAGAGTCGAAGGACGACGTACGATAGTCTTCTGTCTCTGTCTAACTCATCGTGCGGTAGCGACGCGACGTAAGTCGGAGTTGTATCGTATTAGACTTAGAAGTTAAGGGGATATTCCCGATATTTCATAATGGGATATATCACATTTCATTAAGGGGATATTTCATATGATTCATTATACGTAGCATTTAAAACTTTTATATGAAAATGCAAAAAACGTTTAAAGCAAATTGTAAACATTTTTCAGGCTTGTCCTAGATTATTCAAAACGATATAACCGGTTGTATTTCAGAACACGACACAGAAATAAAAGAATCCGAAATAAAAAAGTGCGTTATTTTATTCGGTGCAAGAATACGATGCGACAGATATTACAGAAAAGTATCAGTGTGCTATTTCAATTCGATATGTAGCGATTCGATAAGCGACTTAAGTCAAATACCTTTGCGAATTTTATTTTATGAAATATTAGATAACATTGTTATACATTTAGAAATAAGGTTTGCAGATCGTTTGCACTCAATTATTTTTATTTATCTCTTGCGGATCCGAAATTTAAAGAATCCTATAAAAAATTTCCAACGCATTTAATAGTGATTTAACAAACAAAAAATGTTATTCACCAACGTAAATTAATGAATAAATTGCAGGTATTTATAATAGATATGATAATTTCGATTATAAAATAATTTAAGGAGGATAATCCTGGAAATATATTTCCAGAGGTTTTCAAATTGTTTGTTTTGTTTATTACTATACCATTTACAAGTACTTGGGTTGAGAGACATTTTTCATGTTTGAAATGCATTAAAATTTATAGTAGAGATTCCATGAAAAATAAACGTTTATCGTCACTTTGCCTTACTTCCAATCTGAAAAGATCTTTTCACAGCTCTTCAACAATCTGATGATTTAACTGATATAATAATAAATAGGTAACTTTTCTTTATTAAGAGACCGACTCATCAATTTAATATATAAAACATAATTATTCTTTCTCTCAATTACTACCAGTTTTTAAGTTTGCGTAAATAAATAAAAATAAAATAAAATTCTATTATGTACTCCATAGTGACTCCATAGTAATAGATAAAAAAAACATATACTTTACATGTCAATCATTATGTCATTACGTTGAATGCTGTTATTTTTGCTTTAGGCTGTATTCCGTTACAAAACCAGGCGAACCAGACCGGTAAACTACGGTAAAGAGCGGTTCCTGAAAAACATCGGTTTGATACGGAACGGTTTGGTAAAATACTGGAAACGTCAAATGTTGACGTTTTCTAAATTTCAATACCTCTATTATAAAATTTATCTTTTATCCATTTTTAATATACCTATTCTCTGCTTTTACGTTTGTTTCTCCTTTTCAATGGAGTTTAATATTGAAAAGTACTTTATTAATAAACTGTTAAACTTGTTAGACAGCTCAAGTGAAGATTTGCAGCTCCAATATTGAAACAGATCAATAATAAATAAACAAATCTAATCAATATTTATATTTTTATAGCTTACAAAACATTCACGATTACTTATTGTCTTGTTTTTCATATTTTTTTAAATGTTCCTGACTTTAAGAAACAATGGCTGCATGATAAGTTTAACTGGCCCTAAAAAGTCATTCTATTTAGTTAATGAAATTCCCAAGTAGCATTTTCACGACTTGCGACCACATGTTTACTAAACACAACGTTGGATTAGTTACAAAAAATAGTTAGCTCCCTACCTTGGGTATTAAAATAAATTTAAACGTTTTTATAACGTTGTGCCGACGTTGGACTAGTACTACAGCAAAGTAGAAGCTTCTGCGACGTCGAATAAACGTTGTCTTGTAACCTTTTTGCTTAAGTGATCTTTAGGTGATTCGGACAACGTAGTTACAACGTTGGACAATATAGAGTTTTCCGACGTCAGTTTCAGGACCTATTCCAACGTTATGCAAACGTCGTCTGTTTTACTAATTCCAACGTTGTTTAGATTTCCTTATTCTTACGTTGGTAGGACGTCGAGTCACTACCTTTTACAACTGTATTGAACCATAACCTTAAATCTTAAATTTTCACTTCATTGTTCTGTTCAGTCAGACAGTTCAGTGCTGTTTTTGTTTTTATAAAAAACTTAATTAAAATGGGACATAAGAAAGGTACATATAAAACTAAATTTAAATATACATCGACATATATTACCGATAGTTTATCCACTCCCTCGTTTATTTAGATTATTGAGGGCGGCACAAGCTAGACTCTAGGATGACTAAATTAGGCAATCTTGCGACTAGTATACTACCGGTTAAGGCCAAACTGCGACTTTATTAGTCCAGTATGCGACTACTCGAACTACTCCATCTTAATCTCCAAAACAACAAAGTGAAAGCCGCCATGTTGTTAAATAAGAAAATGTTTCGTTTCTAAAATAGCAATTCCTGCTTTTTGAATACATTAACTTGAAATTTTTGACCCTAAAAAACACGCGGAAACAATTTTTTCGACTGCGAATAAATTATTCTCATTTTACTAAAAAAAAAAATTCAAGAAAATTTTTAAAACTTCTTTAATTTTAAGGCCCATTAGTATTTTTCAAAGTAGAAACAATACATTTATCAATAAAGTTCTTTGCGTTTAACTTTTTTGCCTTGGGTAACGAGTTACAGAGTCGGTTAAAGTGTTTCAATAATTATGATCTTCAAGCATCCTCCACACTTAAATATTTTTGTTTTGTTTTCCTTCACTGCCATCTGACATATGTCTCTAACTAAATCATAAAAATAATATTTTTACTATAATTATCCCAATTTAGGATAAAACGCGACTTAGACGCCATATTAGTTTTGTATTTCTGTGAATTAGGATTTTAAACAACGTTGCAGTTTGTACTAATTTAGGCTTCTAGCCAACGTCGGTATCCAACGTCGTTTCGACCCAAAAATTATTCTCCAAAATAGTGCAGACTAGGGTTGGCACGAGGTTGTGCCGACGTTGCGCCCCGACGTTTGGTTGCGTGACACAACGTTGTCCCGACGTCCAAATGCTGCTTGTGTTTATTTACCTTTGCTGCCTACCTCCATTGCTTTTGGATGTAAATACAAAATACTATTACAAATTTTAAAAATTAAGTGAGAATTTCACTGGAACTTCCAATATTTGCTTGATTTCTGTCACATAAATGGCATTGATTGACAAACAAAACCAGAAAAACCAGCCTTCTCGCCCTGGTTAGTTTGGTGACAGTTATAACCGAATTTTTCAGGAACCGTGTTCCGTAATAAAAAAAACTTTCAGGGAACCGATAGAAGACCATAATAAAACCATAACCAAGGTAAGCAACGGAATACACCCTTAGTTGTGTCCTAAATATTCTTGAGCTATGTTTAAACCCAGACAAAAAATGTATTATACAAAATACCATGTGAATGTGAATTTTATATTAGTGAAAGAAAGAAATTTTATATTAGTGAAACATCTAGACCCTTAAATGTTCGAATTAAAGAATATAAAGATTATTTAAGACAGGGCGATTTTCACAAATCTAAGATTTGTCAGCATTCATGGGACACAGGGCACAGAGAGAAGTCTCTCTCGGAATATTTCGACATGGCTTCGGTTATCCTCTGACAATATTACTTAACAAAGGAGAGAGAGGTGATCCCATTGCCATACCGAAATCTTGTTGAAAAAATTCAACCGGAAAAACAACGCAAAAATTATAATGAAAGAAGCGATTGCCTCTAAAAGAAAAATAAAAGAGGTTTTTTTAACAATTTAAAATAAATGTATTGCTCATGCATCTGTAGATGTTAGTAATGTCTGGCAATAGCTTCTTTGATTTTATAGAACATCACATAAACATAACATATTATGTAAAAATTAAAAACAAATTAAAAAATAATCATACAGAATGTTTGAAGCTTTTTGGTTTTGCCTTTATTGAGTAGTTATTATCAGGTAGTAATTGTTAATTTTGAAGTTTAACTTGATATAATGTCATTTTTTGGACGTATCTGTTTTAAAAAAAAGCTGAAGTGTTTTCGAATAGTTTAGATATTTTCAATAGTTTTTTTTCCTTGTTCTTTGTGTTTTTTGCTTCCGACGACGGGAAGGGATATGTGATACTTTTTGTGGTGAACATTTCATTATCGCATTACTTCTACAAAAATGTACCGTTTCAATTACGTTTCATATTTAGAGGGTACATTCTCCCCAGTGTCGTAAATCTGTATTGGACGTTAATCAGATTCTTTGTAGGAAGTGGGAGACGAGTCCAAACTGGCCCAGAGCTTCCAGCGCATACGAGACCTGGTGCGGAAGCGCCGTCTGGCGGAAGAGAGCCCGAACGACACGCGGCTGGAGCGGATTGTGAGGGAGGTGATGGCCAGGCACGCGGAGGAGGAGGCTATGAAAGCCGGTAAGTGGGGGGAAGGAATATATTTTACCCCCTGCCATATAGTGTCGCAGATAAACTACGCATCATATGGAACTTTTTTTTATTTATAGAGTTAGGTGAAATTTAATTCCGTTGATAGTTTTTGCTTTGTTTTAGAATAAAAATGGCTAAAATCGACACAATAAAACAAACTATGTTGAACTTTAAACTACTCGTACATGAAAATTTTAAGCCTTCCATTTTTTGTGGCGATCAGTGTATAAATTATATTGTCGCGACCTAGCTTGGGAGTTGTTATCTAGGATCGCTTAGGCCAGGATCTCTCTTTCGATTAAGGGCTCGAACTCACTGACGACCAGGCCGCAACGACCTGGCCGTAGCGTCGGCTGGCCGGATGTATTGCGTTTTTAGCTGCGGCCAAATGAACGACCAGTTTCAACAGAGTTGTCAAATCTAACGATTTTTTACGTTTTACCAATTAGAAAATATTGTTTCAGAAATGTTAAAATATCCGAGTTAACTAAAAAGCGAAGTTGCTATTCACAACAAACAAAAAGCATGGTGTACGCGCGACCGACAAAAAGGGAGATATTCTGTTTCTTTTTTCTACTGATATGGCGCCCTTATCGACTTCAGAAGTAAACATATTAGGGTCATCGTAAAAAAAGATCGTCAGGCACTGGCTCTAAATATAAGCAGGTAGAAAGTTTAGCTTCCAGTTATTTCAATGTTTACAATATACCGAAGAATCTACAACAATAATTACTTCTATTTTTATGAATGTTTAAGTTACTTTCTTAATTTTTTTTTCAAAATAATGTACCTAGTAGAAATATAGTCTAAGCGGCGAGTTTTTCACTTACGGTTATTTGTCTTTACGCAATGTCTACGGAAAAAAATTGTCCCTGTAACTTACAAATCTCACACAGTAAGACTTTTCACAACTTTAGTCTTCAAGTAAACAATATTTTCTTTCAAAAAAGCGGATTTATTTACAAAAACATAACAGAGCAACAGGTCAATGAACGTAAATCATATGGCTAAACGTGTATCGATCGATCTGAAACCAGGGTTGCCAGATTTCCTTGTTCACGGCTTGTTAAGTAGAGTCGGGCTGTGGCTATAGACTAAATTGATCACATCTATTGTTGCGCATGTTCAAATATAATTTATTTATTATTAACATATTCAAAAAAAATGACAGAATTACTTGTTTGTGCGCTTTGAAAAATTAGAGTACTTTTAATTAGAATATTTTACACTTTCGTACTCGGGGAAGGTTCTCCAAAAATAAATTTTACTATTTTTTTCTATTAAAATATTGTTGTTCATTTTATTTAAATGTTTTTTTACTCCAATTAGATCAAGTTGTATTTTGTAACTTATTTGTATGTGTTTGCAGCGGAGTACAAAAAATCCCAACAATTCCCTAGAGATAAGAGAAGCTATCAAGAAGCAATGAATCGACCAATATCAATTATAAGTTACGATTTACCAGATTATCAGGTAAAAACATACATGCAAATTTTGTACTTTTTTAGTTATTAAAAATTAATGTCTCTGATTATTTCAGGACTTTATATTAGAGACTGACAAAGACCAATCTTACAACCAGCATTACGCTATAGTATTAAACCCTACGAGACAAGATGAGGCACCTTCAAATTGTAGAAGCGAAGGAAAGCATATTAGAAATATGTCGTCGGGTGTCGATACAACTAATAGCAGTAGAGGTAAATGTATATTACTTACTTACTCACTGCCATTACTCGCTGACGAGTATTTGACACGCATCAGAAGATGGTTACGCAAGGCGTTTTCTTTCATGAGCTTTTCTGTGACTGAAAAGCCCGATACGTGATGTTATCTCTCTTCCGCACTCCGGACTTTCAAAAATCTCATTGTTTTCTTGCCTCTTTACTTTTTGGTTGTCGCTGTTAATTGAGTTTAAAATTCTTCTCCATTGCGTTCTATTGTGCTCCCAATGATTCTGCATGCTTATCATCTTCAAGTTTTCATGGAAAATATCATTATACCTTTTGAGCTTTTCACCCGGTTTCCCCTTACCGTCTGCAAGCTCACCGTAAAGAAGAGCTTTCTTGCACACTGCATACGTAAGTAGCCCATCTTAAGCGGGATTTAGTAATCATGATTTCAGCGGTCTCGCAACAAGCTTTTTCAAGGACCGATACGTTTGAAACATGATCCCATACAGCACATCAAATCACATTTACGACGTGTTTACATTATTAGATGTAGACACAGGGTGACACAATTCCCCCGATGTAAACATGATACGTTTACACATTGTAGTTCAACACGCACAAGGGTTAAACGTCCGCCTCACAATGTAGCCACAGTATAGCATTTACGTATACACAAAGTAAGGGATACACAGTGTGCCGTAGGATACACAGTGCTTGTGTATTACGTTTAAACTCTATTTATACATTGCAGTTGTGACTACTGCGTGTATACGTATGAATTTTGCTTCGTATGTACATCTTGTGCTAGATAAAACTACTTCTTATGAACGAATTTAGGAAATAATACAAGTTTTGATGCCTAACTTTTCGTTCTTTTTAAGAAATATTTATTCAATGATACCAATTATATCTTTTTAGAACGAAAATTAGAAAGGCAAAACTTTGTCTTTTCCAAAAGTATCTCGATCGTTCAAGAGAAGTAGCCTTAAAATTGTTCCATTTTTGTTTTGTATTAAATGTACCATTTTTTTCCATAAAATGGATTAAGTGGTTAAAAATAAAATTCTGATATTTCTTTATATCATGGAACGCAATAGCGCAAATAACACAATAATAATAATTATTTACACTGCAGAAACCAGAAGTAAGAAAACACTATAAAAGAACAGAATTTGTATCAAAATGTATTAAAAATATAAGTACCTAGTATAACAACATACTAAAATGGTAAACACTGGTATATCGCCACGATTTGGTGAACCTCGTTTAGATATTTTTGTCTCTTCTTTTCCCTCCAAGCAGTTGGTCTGTTAGCATACTCATTCATCGAGATTAACAATCTCAGATTGACAATCTCACCCTTAAATTTTATATGAAACTGATTATTGGTTTGGTTTGGTTTGGTAAACATACCTGTATATTGATCCATCAATAACTTACCTAATATCAGTGTAAGAAGTTCTTTGAAGTGTTTAAATCTTTCTTTCTCTGGTCCATTTAGATTTTTATTATTTCCAAATTAAAAAAATTATATTGCAGAGCTAACCTCTTTATCATTATACGAGAATATTTGGAGTTTTCATACATTGGAGTCAAAATTTGGTAAATTGGGTATCGAGTAAGGGAAGAGTCGCTGCTATAATATTAATAATACTCTTAGGAAGGTGTAACAAGGTAATTAAAACTTGTACTTACCTTAACATCTCTTTTAAACTACACACAAACAGAACATTTATATAGAGCTTCCGAATAATAAAACAATAATGGCTGCTAACACATACCACTCCTAGAAAGGAGAAAGGAGAGAGAACACATAAGATACACTTAGTCGGTGTATCTACGCTGAGGCTATCTGTGCGTGCGCACACCTTCATTTCATGCTAGAATGTAGACACAACAGTACACTATTACAAAGTGTCTATATAGAAATTTATATTATGTATATACGTCACATTTTTACAAGGTGTGTACTATAGGCACAACTATGATACGAAGTATCACACATACATATGACATATACATTGTATGTCTCATATACCGACGTCAGATTTCATCATTTTAATAATTATTTGTTACGTTACAAAAAACTCTTTAGAATTTTGAGTGCATACGGTGTACAACTAGTAAACACTGTATCACACAATTTTATCAATATAAATCTGCGTGTATCTCATATGTATATGTTAGAACTAGATGAACACTTAGGTTCACTTTAACATATTTGGTTTCTCATGTGTCTCCCTTGTAGAAACGTAATTTCATTTGGACGTGCTGTATGGGATGGTACCATTTGATTCTTAACAGTTGTCTAAGGTGTCTCTGTTGAAATTTGTTTAAAGCGTTTGTGTGCCGGCGGTACGGCACACAGCAGAACGAGCCTGTGTTAACATTTGGACATTTGACAAAATGTGAAAATAAGAGTAATGGTTTACTATTATTATTTACATATTTTTGAAGTGTTTATCTGCATACTTTATTTATTTACTTTTAAAAAATATTCGATAGTAATATATTTTTAAGGCTTTCAAAGTTAGGTGTTTTGAAATTGTTGAAACTTGTGAAATTTTTACAATTAGTTTGAGGACGTATATGTTCTTATTTTTTACAATTAGATTTAAATCCATTAAGCATTAAGAAGGTTTAATTTGCATACTTAAACTTCTTTAAGATGCATATACTGTTTAACATTTTCGCTGTGATGTAAATGTCAAATTATTAAATTTATATTGCAAGCAAATATTAATTCTTAAATATCTTAATTCTTCCAAAGAATTCCAAACAGACTATGTCTGCCCATAGTAGACCAACATGTCTACATATTCAATCCATAATAAAATGCTGCCACGATCTGCAACCCTAAAAGAAAATAATTAATAATTATTTAAAGCATATTATTTTCAATCGTTAGCTAATAATTTTTAATAATTATTATAACTTATCCACAATCTGGCAAAGAGTGAACTACTGCAGGTAATAAAGAAACATTTCCACGTACTAAATTTACCAAAAAATGCATTGCTTTTAACATATTCCACAGGGTGTTAAAAATATCAACATGTTGTTTTCCCTCGTATAATTGACACATCGAAACTTTCATTTTTAATTTAGAAAAAGACATTAAAAAGTCAAATAATTTAGCTACAAATTGCTTAAAAAATCATCAAAATTGGCTAATTAGAACAAAATATATTAAACTTTAAAATACATCAAAATTTTAAGGTTTAAAATTTTGATGTTTCTTAAGGTGCTGGTGAGTGTAGTTAAGATTAGATGATTATATAGCGGACAAGCCTTTATTTCTAGTTATCGAAATTTATCGATAGTATTCTAAAGAATTTTTTTATGTCAATAAGGGGCATTAGATAGCATTTTTTTCTAATTTTTAAATCCATTTCAGCTAAAACGTCGAATTTCACGAATAAATGGGGTGTTAAAGCCGTCACAGTTTTTCTTATTGTAAATTGTTATTTAACATTGCAGTTAGCCATGACTGCTATCTGTCATCGATTGTTTTGTATTTTAAACGTGTGATTCATACAATGATGTATACAATGATATTCCCTACAATATTTAGTGTTTTAAATTGCAGATAATTTTGTTTAAACCAAAATTATAAAGCCATTTTTTCATATATCTTAGATCTTCCACACACGTATGATGGAGCAAAAAGTGTTTGTTTTCATAAATTTTGCCATTTTTTTAATCGAAAATGATTCAAATTGACAATTAGCACTCCAAATTTTCCTATAAGTGCGTTTTCAGCCAAATCAAATAATAAACCACCATTTTGAATCCGCCATCTTGAATTGAAAAAAAAACATTAATTAGGATTTTACAACAGAAATTATAAATGTCATATTGAGAGTCAATTGAAAAAGTGTAAGGTGGTAAAAACTTTCTTAGAAAATTAGTTTAGATACCTACATAAATTAGATACTAAAAGTTCATGTTCAATAAAATCCTTCAGAATCCCGAAAATTTATAAAAACACAATTAGATTTTACTTTAATTTTATACTTATAGTGCTTATATAAGGCATTCAATCCCGAGATCCCGGGATCCCGGACATTTTTTCAATCCCGAAATCCCGGGATTGTCTTTTCTTTAATCCCGGGATTTTCGGGATTCATCATTACATTTTTTCCTTAATTTAAATCGTACACAAGTGTTTCATGATAGTACAATATGCGCTTATAAACAACCCTGAATGTTGATCAAGTTTGAAGATGATGAAGATCTAGTTTGAGTGATAATACTCTTGATCGGCTTGTTTTTTTTTAAAAAAATTTTGAAAAACCAAAAAAACCAAGTTTAGATCCTCATATTTGTTACTGCATAAGTTGTTATTTTAGTATCTTAGTAATCCTGTGTTATGCTGTATTCGATTGGTTATGTAAATTAAATAAAAAATGTATATTTTAGTTCCTTTTATGTTTTTTTTTTGTTAAATAAACTTATATGTTATGTTGTTTTGTAATAGGGATGACGTTTAATTTATGTTAATGTTTTTTTTGTTCAATAAAATTTTGTAAAGAAAGAAAATATAATATAATTCCAACGTAATTATTTTTTTCGTAAATCCCGGGACCAATCCCGGGATTAAAAAAATTAATTAAAAAAATTATAATCCCGAAATCCCGGGATTGAAAATTTCTTTCGGGATTGAATGCCCTATGCTTATAGTATATTTTAATAATTTTAATCGAGTAAAATAATTCTTAACAAAGTATTCATAACAATATGAAATTAAAAGTAAATGTCTAACTGCTCCCATATACTCTATCCACTGCGGCACCCAGGTTTCACTTCCATATAACATGGTGGGGATTATTATCGCTCGGTACACTACAAGTTTCCTTTTGGTGCTCAAGTCATGATTATAAGAAACCCTGTCTTTTAATTTCCAGAATGCTCTTAAGGCGCTGCGCTAATTCTGTGCTAAATTTCGGAGTTGATATTGACCTTTTCCGAAATCAAACTGTCGATGCCGAGGTAATTGAATTCCACTACATTCAAATAGTTCTTCTCCGATTTGTATAGCACTGTTATGATTTTCCGGGGGAGTGCACATGATTTTAGTTTTATCGATGTTCAGATTAAGACCCAAAGCCTCGTATGCCCAGGTATATGTGTTCAGCATTTCTTGTAATTGCTGTAACGTTTTTGCAGCTGGAGCGCAGTCATCGGCGAATTGAAGTTCTGTGATGAATTTTATACGTATTTTTGCCTTTTTAACACCCATTCCTCTTTCCATCAGTTTGCTGTCCACTATAATACCGCTGCCATGAATATGTTGAATAGGAGAGGAGCCAAGGCAGATCCCTGCCTAACTCCTGTATTTGTCAGGAAGGGATCGGTTAGTGATGTGACACTATCGACTGGTTGTTATTATGAAAGCTTTTACACGCTGTAATAAATTTGTAGGGTACTCTTTTTTTTCTTGTTTGAGAACTTTTGCATAATTACCCAAAGTGCATCTCTGTTTACAGAGTCAAAGGCTTAGGTTTACAATTAATTGAACTAATCCTCTATTTTTTCTTCTTTTTAGAGACGGAAAATACACTATTAGACAACAAAAGCGACAAACAGTTCACTTCGACCGAATCCGAACCCAAAGAAGAGAAAAAAGAGGAGCAAATTACGACGAAGAGTGAGGATAACGCCAAAAAGAGTGGTAAAGATGGCCAACCCTGGCAAACGCTGGTGTCTTACGTGGACGAGATCACTGTGGGCGGCCGAAAAAACTCCAAGGGACAGTTTATTGACGTGGCGAAAAATTTTCCAGGTTTCGGAAAAAGCAAAGCTGCCAAAGTGCCACCGAATTGTTTTCCCAAACAAATTTACGAAAAGTAAGTATAAAATTGTATAATAATAAATCGCCAAAATAAGCACTGCCGTACCATCCTTCTTTCAAAGTAACTCACGGTACTTTTGATCCATATATACAATACCGTGCTGGCAACTCTTACATTTGGGTCGGTATTTACATGTGTGTAAGTAAATCGCATAGGAATCTTATTAAGTCGGAGTGAGAGAAATGCGACGGCGTTGCCACATTTTTCCAATACGCCTTTCCCTATCAATTAAAGTAAAATCACGATCGTAAACCGCTTATTTTTAAAATACTTTTTCGAACAGATAACTACATAAAATCATTAGATATGTTTCTGAGCATCTGAAATGGAATTATAAGGATATCATTAGGGTATCCATATTTTTTATAACGAGAAAACATCAGTAATCGCGATAATTTAAAAACTGAATTTTTTAACACATACATACCTAACACGCGATAACTTAAGAACCACTTTAGATATTGAAACTTCTTTTTTTATTTTGAAGTTCGGATCTTGATAGGCTTGTTTTTTTTCGTTCAAAATTTTTAAAAAACCTATCCATTTACCTTTAGTGCATAGCAATTTTCAGCAATAGTGTAACTTTTTTATTTATAAAGATTTTCACATACTGTCTGCGAAGAAAATATAGCAGAGATATTAAAAAGTTTGTGAAAAAAACTACAATCAATTATTTCTAATGAATTTCGAGATATCGATTTTTGAATTCTGAGTTCAAATAGCGCGACCACTGTCGAACACTAACTCAATTCCACTTATTTTTACCAAAAGTTCAAGTGTTCCTAACTTGCACTTAAAAATTTACGAGCTATAGAGAAAATTACAATGACTCGTTAATAAATAAACAAATAACGTTTCAAGAGACGTAATTAAATCGTGAAGCTGAACGCGTGTACGGGGTGGTCGAGATTGGTCTGTTTTAACAGAGAAACCCTATTTCCTGACTAGATAGAGCAAAACCGACATAGATGTCATGGGCTCGATTTCTGAGACACGTTTAATGGCGTAAACCGCCTGTTGATATTTTCACTTCCAGCTGAGATACGAGGTCTTTTTGATTTTTTTACCATTTGAAAAATTAACCATAACTTTTTTATTTCGCGGAATAATAAAATTCTGTAAAAACATTCTTATTGCACTTTTTTAAGCACAATATAGTGGCGTAGTCAGCTTTTTTCTATGCTTCCTCTTTTTATCAGAAATAATGAAAAATATAATTTTTTAAATGGAAATCATAGTTGGCTATGAACCTAAAAAAAGGCTGGCGTTTAACCCTTTCCAACAATGTAAAGTTATGGGTATCTATTTCTAAGAATGAGAGAAATATTAGGTTTTTATATTTTTATATCGAAGCGGGCCTTGATTTTGTGTTGGCCTATTTTCCTAATTATTTTTTATTGCAATTTAATATTCTATATTATTATTTATCTGCATAATTAAAAACTTTTGAGAAATTAAATTAACATTCTATATTAGTATTAGTAATTGCAATTGAAATCTATATAATAAACAAAGAACAAAACTAAAAAGTATTTTTTGAGTGACGAATATAGTTTTCTAAAAAAAATAATTGAAATCGTCAAGAGTTACAACGAATTATTAGGCAAACTGGGTGTAATAAGTCCAAAAGCTTGCCTAGTAGCCTTCTGTAATTCTTCTCTCGTGCCAATGGTTATTCCCTTATATAAGGTCTTTTAATTTCCCCCATAAAAAAGTCGAAAGGAGTTAAATTACAGGATCTAGCAAACCAAGATATGGGCTCCTTGTTCCAATCCAATTCTCTCTAAATTCTACATTTAATAGTACCAGTTGTAACCCTGGCGTTTTAATTGTAATTGGTAATACTAATATAGATTGTTGATTTACCGTCTCAAAAATCTTTAATTATGCAGATAAATGATATGGATTATCAAATTGTGCTAGAATATTATCATAATATGAATTATCAAATTGTGATAAAAAATAATTAGGCAACTTGGCCAACATAAAATCAAGACCCGCTTCGATACAAATATAAAAAACCTAATATTTCTCTCGTTCTTAGAAATAAAATACACATAAATTTATATCGTTGGAAAGGGTTAAACGCCAGCATTTTTTTAAGTTCATAGCCAACTATGATTTCTATTTAAAAAATTATATTTTTTATTATTTCTGACAAAAAGAGCAAGTATAGAAAAAAACTGACTACGCCACTGGATTGTGCATAAAAAAGTGTCTTAAGAACGTTTTTACAGAATTTTACTATTCCGTGAAATACAAAAGTTATAGGCAATTTTCCAAATGGTAAAAAATGCAAAAAGACTCGGTATCTCAGTTGGCAGTGAAAATATCAACAGGCGGTTTACACCATTAAACGTGTCTCAGAAATCGAGCCCATGACATCTATGTCGGTTTTGCTCTAACTAGTCAAGAAATAGGTTTTCTCTGTTAAAACAGACCAATTTCGACCACCCTGTACATCATGCTTTCCTAGAATTTTAAATACTGATCGTACTGATTGGGTCTGCTATATCCCCTTCCACGTCTCTTAGCGATGTGCACAGTTTCTCGGTTTATTTCATACGTTTGGCAACGTGTTTACTGTCCTCTCTTTGTTCAGTACATTATAAACGCATTGTACTCTTCTTACATACGGAAATCTCGACCCAAGACTAACCTTTGCCAGCTCTTATTATATTTAGTAATTATACCTCATAGTTTATGAATTTTCGCTTGTTAAATTTCTTTAATTTGGACAGTGATTCACAAATCTGACTTATTATACTTATTACAGAAATAAAGATTGTAGCGTTTTTTATAAAACATTACCACTGCGAACGGCAGCTTTTCATCGGAGAGCAGTCGTGGATAAGGTATTTCACTGGAAAGAAAATTAAGTAATAACAATAAACAAAAGAAATAGATATTGGGCGCCAGGCATGTACAGAGAAAGAAAACACAGTTGTATATTACTTGAAACTAATGACTATATTTATTCATGATGTTCTTTGTTGGTAAATGACATTGTAGAATTTTAATAATTATTATAGTGGTTATATATCAACGAAAGTGGTGTTAAGAATTGTACTAAATATCTATGAAAACAACTATGATAAAATACAAGACATGTAACGTTTAAGAGAATATATGAAATATAGCATTACTTTAATTAATTTGATATATTTTATATGATGTTAGTGCAATAATAATATCTATAAAAAAGTAATACTATTACAAGGCGTAATGTAATGAAACCTAAAATCTAAATCATATTGTAACTACTAAATCGACATAAATGTTCTTAATAATCTAGCCACTAAATATAGTCTGTACGATATCGTTTAAAATGTACGTTATTTTTTAAGACTGAAAATGTTTTACATGTTAAATGTAAAACTAGAACTTAAATCTACACTTAGCTGTTCTTTATGTAACCTTGCTTCAAACAGTAGCAGCGTGAGATGGGCTCATATCTCTGTACTGTCTGTCAGCGATCCTGTTGGCCAAAACAACAAAAGGGGCCAAAAATGAGGACAACATGAATCAATACAGCCGTAGCTACTGACTAGGTTTAGATGGGAGCGAAGCAGCATGGGGCTCAAGCTACATCCACGCTGGGGCACTTTATATGTAAGAAAAATCATTCCTACTGGGGACACTCGTCCACAGGACATGCGCACATAGGATAATGGTACAAGGGAACACTACCCGTACGTTGGAACACTACTAGGACCTTGGATAATGCCCGTACCTTGTAAATAGTCCATACCTTGGACCCTAAAAATATGAAACTCTTGTTCAAAACCAAACAAGGTAAACCAAACAAAATAAACCTACCTCGAATTACTTCCGAGGGCTCAATAATAAACAAAGAAACTGTCCTTTCTTCCATGTAACATTCAGGAGGACAAAAGCAAAAGAACACCAATGTGCCAGCAAAATACAAATACGAGTTAAGGTGGGTCAATCCAAAATTCTACTCTAAAAATATTCAATAATAATAACGAATCTAATAAAGATAATATCTCATCTTTACCTGTTGCTTCAAAATGGCAGCTGATTCAGATTTTGCAGCAAGATTTAAATTGCCATTTCTAAAAGCATGATTTGCAACCGTGGCCAAAAACAAAGTGAGGTTAAAACGCAGAGAGGCGCCTTGACATATGACATGGATCTTGACAGCGCGCGCCTCCACAGAACAGTGAAACGATAGCAGGATTGGCGACTAGGGAACTAAAAATTACGCCAAGCGTGCCAAATAACTATCCGGCCTGAACGGGAGGGAATCCGGTGACGATAGGCCCAGACATCATATAATATATATAAAAAAGACATGTAACGAACTAAAAACGTTACAAGATGTCTAATATTGATACTAACAATTTATAACAAAATTGTTGAATACGTGCTTTCATTAGAAACTAAATAAAATAAACTGACTTGGTTTTACATGAGATCTCAAACTTCTTATAGTGGAAGAATTGCGTTACGAGACTTCGTCTTTTTTTTTAAATTCTATGTTTTTGATGGGATCAATTTATTCTAAATTTCAGATGCCCCTGCTTGGAAGAATGTATCAAATCCAAAATAGGAGTTAAATGGACGGAGTTCCGCAGCTCTGTACTAGGAGTAGTGGACACCGCGGCATTCGAATGGTTTATATTAGTGCTTATTTTTGCCTCGAGCGTCACACTATGCTTCGAAGACATCTACCTGGACGAGAATCCTTACCTCAAAACGTTGCTCTACTGGACCAATTTGGCCTTTTGTATCATATTCGTTATAGAGATGTTTTTCAAATGGGTGGCTTTGGGTTTCTATAAATATTTCACCAGCTTTTGGACGCTTCTAGATTTTCTAATTGTTTTTGTAAGTATGCCTTTTAAATTTGAAATTTTTGTTGGAAATGATACATAATTTATGTGTATATGATTGTCATATTCTTGTTTTCCATGTTTACTTAATTAATATCCCTAGATCATATACAGGGTGTCCCAGATTGAGCGTGCATTAGAAGTTTCTAGAGAACTACAACATCTAGCTCGGAGATTTTTTGCACATCATAGTTTCACAACGAGATCTATCGATTAAAAATATTTTCAATATGGCGGCACTTCCGGAAATACCGGAAGTTGAAAGCAACTTTCTTATTTTAAATGGGTGCTCCCATTTTTTATTGTGCACTTAAATTCTATGTAAAATTTTATAAATTTTGATATTAAACACTCTATATCTAACATTAACCGTTTTTGGGAAAAAAAATATTTAAAATTTTTGAACGAAAAATTAAATTATTTATTTATTTATTTATAATAATGGCTGCAGCTGTCATAGAATTGAGCGATTAAAAAAGCATCATAAATTATTTTTTTCAAATGGAAACCCACTTTTTTTATTTCCCTAGTAAAAAGGTTTTTTAATTCGTTACTTTTTAACTATACATGTTCCTATACCTAAAATAAATCGTTTTTCAGTTATTTAAAATTTAGTTTTAAAGCATATATTTTTCTTGTTTTTAACCAGTAGCCTATGACTTTAAACGTCAAGTGAGGTAAAACAATAGATCTGGCCTTGTCATATTGTGACGCTTTGTTCAAAAAGCAGCATCATTTTCGAGCCAACTTTGCGCTGTTTTTTTTTCGATCATACGGAATATTAATAATATCAACTATTAGATATTAAATATCACTAATGAGCGAAAATACGAGATATATTTTTATAAATACACTTTTTAAACCCTTAAGGCAGGCAGTATTTATACTATAGGAAATTCAGATATTTCGTTTTCTGACAGATGAAAATAAATTGTCTGACCGTTTATGTCAAAGGAAGCTAGATAAAATCAAGAAAAATATAGGTTTTCAAACTCAATTTTAAATAACTTAAAAACGATTTATTTTAGGTATAGGAACACGTATAGTTAAAAAGTAACGAATTGAAAAACCGTTTCATTAGTGAAATAAAAAAAGGAGTTTCCATTTGAAAAAAATGATTTATGATAATTTTTTAATCACTCAATTCCATGACAGCTACCGCCATTATTACATGACATTTGAACAATTTAATTTTTGGAATAGATAGCCACATGTCTTCTCTTTATGTCCCAGTGGCTGTGGTAATCACTAAATTTGACTTTTAGGCTATACAAATTTTTTTTGACAGGTAGTTTTTTTCGTCCAAAAATTTTAAATATTTTTTTTCTCACAAACGGTTAATGTTAGATATAGAGTGTTTAACATCAATATTCATAAAATTTTACAGAGAATTTAAGTATGTAATAAAAAATGGGGATACCCATTTAAAATAAGAAAGTTTCTGTCAACTTCTAGTATTTCCGGAAGTGCCGCCATACTGAAAATAGTTTTAATCGATAGATCTCGCTGTGAAACAATGATGTGCAATAAATCTCCAATCTAGATATTGTAGTTCTCTAGAAACTTCTAATGCACGCTCAGCTTGGGACATCCTGTATACTTACGGTAATATCTTATTAATAAGACACAAATTTGCATTTTTTGTCCATTAAGCGGCAAGTTTTGCATTTTTTCTCCAACATTTTATTATATTAATATTTTATTTTATTTGCTATAATGGCAATTTTATACTGCATTTAAATGAGCATAATATTGTCTTTTTTGTTTGCATTTATCCTCGCTCTCCATTATAGTGGACAGCAAACTGCAAGAAGGAGGAATGGGCATTATATACAGATACGACGGTCTATTCAGCATAAGAAGACTCACAACGGAAAAACGTTACAGCAATTACAAGAAATGTGTCTTAAGCTGAACATCGATAAAGCTAAAATCATGTGCACTCCCCCGGAAGATCACAACAATGCTATAAAAATAGGAGAAGAACTATTAGGCCAGTCAATCTGGAGGTTGAGGTGGAAAAAATTAGTAACCAACCGATCTAAACGGGAATGTGTAGATAATGATCTCCTATTTAACCCCTTAAAAGTCCCATTGGGTCCCAGTGGGGGAAGTTTGAAAAAAAACGCCGCCATCTTGGATTTTTTCGTTTTTTTCAAATATCTCCCTTTGCATAACTTTTTTCGAAATAACTAAACATATGTTTTTTATAGAGAATTAAATTTAGAATATTTTACCTTTAATAAATTTTTTTCTAAAATAAATAGTAATAGAGATAGAGCAATTTTTTACTATACGGTTTATAAATTTTCCAGTTTTTTTAAACCAATCAGCTATAATTTTTGCGTTAACAGTATAGTGTTAGTATAGATAAATCACAAGTATAAATTTAAGCATTAAAACAATTAAAAATAACGTTTAAATATTATTTATTAGATAAAATTATTGTTAAAAAAATTATTATTAAATAAAATCTACTATTCTGAGCGTCACTTTCGTCCTCAACTAAAATACAAAAGTTTGTGCTACTGATTCCGTAGCATTGACCACACTTTGAAGTGAACATTTGAAACATTTAAGAGCCAGCTTTCTAAAAGAACAATTTTTAGAGCACTGACTCTCTTGCAAAATATTAATTTTAGTAGTCAGGAGGCATTTTCTTCTGTTGATTGAATAGGTGTCAGATCGCCTTTTTGATCTTTCTTCCATCCATATTGTAAAGTATCTAACTTTTTACCAATCCATTCATCAATCTAAAAAATACATCTTGTAACATTTCCTATAATAGATATATCTTTACAGTTACCTGAAAGTATGTCCTGAGTAAATGAAGTTTTGCTAAATGAGTTCTCAGTTGGAGGCAAATTAGCTAAATCAAAGGTAGTCTTAAGGACTTGTCTTAGATGTAATCCTATTGTATAGAATGTATCTCAGATGGTTAATATGTTTAATATAGCTTGGGCAGTGATATATAGCTTTAAGAGATAATTTAATCCTGACTGAAACAAGTCATCTTTGTTAGTTTTTTTTTCTAAATATACGTCGAGGTATTGACAAAGATCGTCATCTTTTTTCAGTACCGACAGGCACATTTTTTTTGTTTCTTCCTGTGCCTTGTGTTTAGCCGCACGTTGGCGATTGTCTGTACTCTTTATACAATGTGTAGAATGCCGTTTTCGGCTCTTCGAAATATGGTGGCTGCGTCGCTGATGCTACACCAATCCCGTATGATTCTTAGCCAGGAATGTTGTTTTCTTCCTGGGCCTCGCCGTCCCTTTATTTTTCCTTGTAGAATCAGCTTAGGAATGTAATATTTGTCTCCTCTAAGGATATGGTTTTAATGCTATATCACTGCCGAAGCTATATTAAACATATGAACCATCTGAGAATCCCTTAATACCACCTTTAATTTAGCTAATTTGCCTCCAACTGAGAACTCTGCAAAACTCCATTTACTCAGGACATACTTTCAGCTAACTGTAAAGATATATTTATTATAGGAAATGTTATAAGTTGTATTTTTTGGATTCAAGAATGGATTGGTAACAAGTTAGATCCTTTACAATATGGATGGAAGAAAGATCAAAAAGGTAATCTGACACCTATTCAATCAACAGAAGATGTGGGAGAGTCAGCGTTGTAAGAGAGTCAGTGTTCTAAAAATTGCTCTTGTAGAAAACTGGGTTTTGCATGTTCTTCAAAGTGTGGTCAGTGCTACGGAATCAGTTGCACAATAATTGTATTTTAGTTGAGGCTAAAGGATGACGTCATAGCAGATTTTATTTAATAACTTTATTTTAATAATCATTTTTTAACAATAATTTTATTTAATAAATACTATTTAAACCGAGATTTAAACGTTATTTTTAATTGTTTTAATGCTTAAATTTATACTTGGTTTATCTATTTTAACACTATACTGTTAACGCAAAAATTGTAGCGGATTGGTTTAAAAAAACTGGAAAATTTATAAACCGTATATTACAGTTGAGGGTTGTAACCTTTGGTGTTACACAGCAAAATAAAAACACTAAATCACCACAATACACCAAAACACTTTTGACCAAACCAAACCATGTTAGCATCATCAGCAGATGATTATAAACTGTTTATAATCATCTGCTGATGATGCTAACATGGTTAGCGAAACGCGCGTCCAGTGTAAAAGTAAAAGTGTTTTGGTGTATTGTGGTGATTTAGTGTTTTCATTTTGCTATAAACCGTATAGTAAAAAATTGCTCTATCTCTATTATTATTTATTTTAGAAAAAAATGATTAAAGGTAAAATATTCTAAATTTAATTCTCTACAAAAAACATACCTTTGGTTTTTTCGACCGAAATGAAAAAATCCAAGATGGCGGCCATTTTTTTCAAACTTCCCCCACTGGGACCGAATGGGACTTTTGAGGGATTAAATAGGAGATTATTATCTACATATTCCCGTTGAGATTGGATGGTTACTAATTTTTTCCACCTTTACCTATAATACTCGGCTACGTTTACTGGCCTATATTGGAATATGTAGCGGAATTCAATTACCTCGGCGGTTTGTATTCGGAAAAGCCAATATCGACTCTCAAATTCAGCACAGAATTAGCAGCGCCTCAAGAGCATTCTGGAAACTAAAAGATAGGGTTTTCTACAATCATGACTTGAGCACAAAAAAGATACTTGCAATGTATCGAGCGATAATAATCCCCACCATGTTGTATGGAAGCGAAACCTAGGTGTCGTACCGCCGACACATGAACGCATTAAACAAGTTGCAACAGACACCTTAGACAACTCTTAAGAATCAAATGGTTTCACCATGTCTCAAACGTATTGTTCCTTAGAAAAGCTAGCTGCGAGAGCGTTTTGGTTGCGAGTCATGATTACTATATGCCGCTTAAGATGGGCTGGTCACGTATGCAGGGTGCAAGGAAATCGTCTACCGAAATCTCTTCTTTATGGTGAGCTTGTAGACGGTAAGAGGAAACCGGGTGTACAACTCAAAAGGTACAAGAATATTTTCCATGAAAACTTAAAGGGGATAAGCATGTACAATTAGTGGGAAGAAGCAGCGCACAATAGAACGCAATTGAGAAGAATTGTAAATTCAGTTAACAACGACAACCAAAAGGTGAAGAGGCAACAAAGCAGTGAGATTTTTGAATGTCCGGAGTGCGGTAGGCAAATAACATCACGTATCGGTATTTTCAGTCACAGAAAAGATCATGAAAGAAAACGTCTCTAGTAACCATCTTCTAATGCGTGTCAAATACTCGTCAGCGAGTAATGGCAGTAAGTAAGTAAGTAATTGAAGGTGCGACTTTGGTATGATAATTTTAATATATTTTGACTACCATATCATCATAAGTTATGAAATTTGTCTTAACGAAATATAAAATATGAATCAATTTTATTTTGTTTCAGGTGTCCTTATTTAGTTTACTTATTGAAGAAAACGAAAATCTAAAAGTACTTCGTTCGCTTCGAACTCTCAGGGCTCTGCGACCTCTGAGAGCTATCAGCAGATGGCAGGGCATGCGCATAGTTGTCAACGCTCTGATGTACGCCATTCCCAGCATTTTTAACGTCTTATTAGTTTGTCTAGTGTTTTGGTTAATATTCTCCATTATGGGTGTGCAGTTTTTTAGCGGAAAATTTTACAAATGCGTGGACGAAGAGGGTGAAAGATTAGATGTCGAAGTAAGGGGGAGGCGTTGTTGAATATTTTTATTGAATTTGTATCGATATCATGTTTGTTTTAGATTGTCGATACAAAATGGGACTGTGATAGACTTAACTATACTTGGATGAACTCAAAGATATCGTTTGATCATGTCGGAGTGGCTTATCTGGCTTTATTTCAAGTGGTATGCAATAGAGTTTAAATATATACCTAACCTAACCATATAGTTGTTATACTTTAAATATTTTGTTTAAAAACAAGTGTTTTAAACGTGTTTATATACGTCAGTGAGTTAAGAAGCTCTTAACTCACGCATTTTGAGTGAGTTAAGAGCTTCTTAATTCACGCATTTTCATTACCGCACTCCTTGTTTAGATGACTACCAAAGAAAACAAAAAATATTTTGTAAAACATTTATTTTGCACTAAATTGGAAAAATATGTTATGAGTACCTTTTCATTTCCATAGTTGTGTACTTTTTTTTCGGTGCACCATTTTTCATACTTAGAGTATGTATATTCATACTTCTGTTTCGATCTTGCTGGAAGCAATCCAGAAATGGCTCTGAATGCCTCTTCTTCAATGTCAGAGGGAATATTTTCCGAATCGCTCATTTTTTAAACTAGTGACATCAATATTATTTACTGTCATATTGACATTGCCATACATGGTGTTATTTGAACAGAGGTATATATATATATATATATATATATATATATATATATATATATATATATATATATATATATATATATATATATATATATATATATATATATATATATATATATATATATATATATATATATATATATATATATATATATATATATATATATATATATATATATATATATATATAGTTAAGTACAATAATTTTTAAAATTCATTGTGTGTTTCTATAGTTAGACGTAGATAAAATATTGTACAATACACGCGAGTTAACTCCATTAAGATACTTGTGTGGTTACAACTTGCAACTTTCACACGCGTATCTTAATGATGCTGTTAACTCATTTGTATCGTAAATATCTATTAAAATATCATTAGTTTTACACTTTGAATAAGAAGACTAAGGAAGGAACATATCAAAAATCTTAGGTACACCGCGATGGGTCTCAAATATGGCCGACTTAAATTCCGGTTTATCAGTGTCGTTCTAATTTTATTTAAAAAATGTAAAACTATGATGTAGGGTAAACGTGGGGTAGACTCAATAATTTGTTGTTTTATTTTACGTTGTGAATAAATGTTGGTAGTTATTAAAATTGTTATAAAAATATATAATTCTAATAAAAATAGATAAGTTATAATAAGTATTTATTAACACAAACATCCGATACGCTACTGAAGCAGGTAAGTCGCATTAATGTATCTAAATTCTTTGACATCTAATCTTTGACAATTAATAAATAAAAGCTAAAATGCAAGAAAAATATATGTTAAATTAATAATAATAATAAATAATCTTTATTTCAAAAGTATGTTAAATAACATAAAACGAAACAGAGTCAAAAACAAAAATAACTTAACCTAGTTTTATGATTAATTTATATTAATTTACAGATAGGTAATCCTTTAAATTATATGGTTCCAAATCTATTAAAAATGTATACAAATGATTTTTGAAAGGCACGGTATAATTTAGTTACTTTAAGTGAATTTCATAAATGATCGGTTTACTACACGTATGTATATTATATAGTCACTTACTAGCGAAAAGTTGTTCCATTATTTCACTCAATTTTTGCCGAGATCTACCGCACGCTACACAACCAACTATTTTAAAGTCTTTTTCGATAAATCGCGATAGTGTCTCTGTTAATTTAAGTTCTGCCACAATTTCCGTATAGATTTAGTACCTTTATACAACTGTCAGTAGTAGAATAAATAATAAATAACCTAAAATAAGCTCCGTAAAGACTGACAAATCTACAAAATTTCAATTCAAATGTGTCAAATGAATCGTCAAACAGAACTGTCAAGGATCCCCACCCTGAGTGCGTTTTCCGCCCACCATGCGTGAATACATGGATAGCATTATGCTCCTTCCTTAGTCTTCTTATTCAAAGGTTTTACACTTATTTTAAATATTTATTTAAAACTGTTATAACATGTTTCAAACTCTCTTTTAAACACATTTGGTGTGTAAATAAGTGTTGTTTTTTTGTCTTTCAACTATTTAATAAAAAAAACCTAGTACCAAAGGAATAAAAAAATAATTATCTTAACCTAATATTGTCTAGAAAAAAATAGTTTAACTCATTTTAATAAAAAATGGTGCCAAATTTAACAATAACTAGTATTCTGTGCTACAACTTTGAGAATTAGTTTCTCATCATTGTGTTCTCTAAAGAGTAAAATAAATTTTGCCGTAACTTAACCTACTTCTTAAGCTTGATTTTCATGCAACCGTTGTCCGACGATACGATGATACGATATTAATTTTATTGGTTGAATTTAAAGACTTCGGTTGGTTAGAAACGGTTAACCAATCGAATCCTTTAAATACAACCAATGAAATTAATATCGTATCAACGTATCGTCGGACAACGGATGCATGAAAATCAAGCTTTAGTTTTGAATGCCATCTATAATATGTATAATAGTTTAAATTAAAACATATCCAGTGTGTCCCAGGCTGAGCGTTCATTAGAAGTTTCTAGAGAACCACAATATCTAGATCAGAGATTTTTTGCAGATCATTGCAAATTAAACGAGATCTATCGATTAAAAATATTTTCAAAATGGCGGCACTTCCGGAAATACCGGAAGTTGACAGCAACTTTCTTATTTTAAATGGATGCCCCATTTTTTATTACATACTTAAATTATCTGTAAAATTTTATGAATTTTGATATTAAACACTCTGTACCTAGCATTAACCGTTTTTGAGAAAAAAAAATATTTAAAATTTTTGGACGAAAAAAACTACCTGTCAAAAAAATTTGTATAGCCAAAAAGTCAAATTTAGTGATTACCACAGCCACTGTGACATAAAGAGAAAATGTGGCTATCTAGCTATTTCAAAAATTAAATTGTTCAAATGACATATAATAGCGGTAGCTGTCATGGAATTGAGCGATTAAAAAATTATCTTAAATCATTTTTTTCAAATGAAAACCCACTTTTTTTATTTCACTAATGAAAAGGTTTTTCAATTCGTTACTTTTTAACTATAAATATTCCTATACCTAAAATAAATCGTTTTTAAGTTATTTAAGATTTAATTTTAAAGCGTATATTTTTCTTGATTTTAACCAGTAGCCTATGACTTTAAACGTCAAGTGATGTAAAACAATAATAGATCTGGCCATCTCATATTGTGACGCTTTGTTCAAAAAGCAGCATCATTTCCGAACGAACTGTTTTTTTTTCGATCATACGGAATATTATTAATAATATCAACAATTAGATATCACTAAAGTGCGAAAATACGAGATATATTTTTATAAATACACTTTTTAAACCTCTTAAGGCAGGTAGTATTTATAATATAGGAAATTCAAATAATTCGTTTTCTGACAGATGGAAACAAATTGTCTGACTGTTTGACACTTAATGTCAAAGGAAGCTAGATAAAATCAAGAAAAATATACGTTTTCAAATTAAATCTTAAATAACTTAAAAACGATTTATTTTAGGTATAGGAACATGTATAGTCAAAAAGAAATTGAATTTCCTTGAAACGCCTTTTCACTAGTGAAATAAAAAACGTGGGTTTTCATTTGAAAAAAATTATGATAATTTTTTAATCGCTCAATTCTGTGACAGCTGCGGTCATTATTATATGACATTCGAAGAGTTTAATTTTTGAAATAGATAGCCACATGTCTTCTCTTTATGGCACAGGTAATCATTAAATTTGACGTTTAGGCTATACACATATTTTTGACAGGTAGTTTTTTTCGTTTAAAAATTTTAAATATTTTTTTTCTCAAAAACGGTGAATGTTAGATTTAGAGTGTTTAATATCAAAATTCATAAAATTTTACAGAGAAATTAATAAAAAAATGGGAGCACCTATTTAAAATAAGAAAGTTGCTGTCAACTTCCGGTAGTTCTGGAAGTGGCGCCGTATTGAAAATATTTTTAATCGATAGATCTCGTTGTGAAAGAATGATGTGCAAAAAATCTCCGATCTAGATATTGTAGTTCTCTAGAAACTTCTATTGGAATTCTCTATTGGACGCTCAGCCTGGGACACCCTGTATATCTTTGATTTGGCTGGTTTGTTATAGGCTACTTTTGAGGGTTGGATGGAAGTGATGGCAGATGCAGTAGATGCCAGAGGAGTCAACATGCAGCCGAAAAGAGAAGCGAACTTATACGCTTACATATATTTTGTTATTTTTATAGTGTGCGGTTCATTCTTTACTCTGAACCTTTTCATTGGAGTGATAATAGACAATTTTAACATGTTAAAGAAGAAGGTAAATATATTTAAACTTAATTTCTGGTTCTAATTCTTTTCTACGGTCAAAATTGGCATGAAACTCGAAATTACGTTTGAGATTATTATGAGATACTGTGCTTACGTACAGTTTATACCAAATAAATTTTTAGTCACGTGATTAAGCTTGACCGGCACAGTGTTGCCCATTTTTATATATTTTCTTTTAATCAAAATATTTTAGGAAACAAAAATATATTAATGATAAATATATATAAACAGTTATTATTTACATCAACAAAACTCACCTTCTTAATAGCACTTAAGGGACATAAAGGGCCATTACTACCGCTTTCCCGTTCAAAATATTCTAATAAAGTTGCGATGAATTTTTTACGGCTATTAAGCTATCTTGTACACTTCGCACTAAAAGAGGTTGTAAAAAGAACTATTTCTAGTAAACATTTTTAAGCTTAAGCCTCCGGCAGGCATGTACTTTAGAATCACACGACCTGGCGCGTAGGGTATTCCGTACCGCATTTATATTTTTTGAGTATTCTGTAATTTAAAATATTTTATTGTCAAATTTAGCATGATAAACAGTAACAAACAACATTTTTAATACATATTTACTTTATTAACACATAAAAAAACTTAAAGGAATTATAAAAGAAGGAACTGAACGAAACATTTTTAATATTCAAAATAAAAAAATATAACTTAAAATATAAACTCAATAGAAAAAATTTATTAACAATTTAAAATTACTCCACATAAAACAAAATAAATAATATTATAACTAGTTTACTTACATAACCGGGTGCGTAGCAGCACGGAGTACCGCAACTGTTGTAGTTGCTAGGTTAACAGAATTGGTTAACCTAACCTAACCTAACAGAATTGCTACTGAACCAAAATCGCTGCATATAAAACTACTACGACTCAGGGTGTCAAATATCCCTAAGTAAGAATAGTTAACGGCACCACTGTCCTCCGTCCAATGGATATCTTGTTTTAACGAAATTAGTAAAATTGCGCCCGCTCAGGGGTTAAAGCATAGATAAATGAAACAAGTTTAGATTGGAAAGTGCCCATAAGGACAATGTAAACACTATTTGGCGCTATTCTTGCGACGGTCGTAACCCAAAGCTTTTGATAATTTCGGATCGGTTCGGCTTTTTCCGGAATCGCCAAATATTATTTATTCAAATTTATTATTATTTTATTTTAATTTTATAAATAAAATACAGTGTGTAGCACACAAGAAACTTTATTTTATACAAAGATATTTAAACTCGGGAGATACAACGATCCATTCATAAAACGCTCTAAACCTTCATCACACATTGGTTTGCGAAAATCAACGAGTGCGAGAGAGAATGGACAAAGAAGGGAATAGGGTATCGGCGCAACGGCAACAATGTAGTTGTTTACAACGGTTGAGGTAAATTTCCAGTGGCGTGCCGATCGACCGACAGTATTTTAAGGAAATTAAAATAATAGTTTCATAAATTTAAAAAAATAATAATAACACTTACATATTTGTCGCATTGTAAAAAGTTGAAGGATATTAATAGGAAAAAAATAAGTTGAGGGAGGATAGCGAAATAAATAAACACCGGCATAATTTTTTATTATAAGATGGCTTTTCACATAAGAATAACGATTAAAAAAATCAATAAGCGTTTTTTACTTTATTTTATTAAATAAAATATCAAATTTTGGGTGTATTAGTAAATGCAGTTTCAATATCTTGTTCCAAACCTTGTTCATCTCCGGTGAATGAGACTCCCTCTATTAGCAATAACAAAATAAAATAGTTATTTTAACCTAGTAACACTAACAAACATTACAACTACATGTAACACTAACACTAACTAACTATTCTAACATAGTAACCAAAATTTAAAACAAAAGCCGTATTAAATTGTAACGGCAACAAAAAAGTAAGGCCGCAAAATTCCATTTTTGGTACACCCCATTAAAATTTTCACAAAAGGTAGGTAATGATTTGTCAAACCCAAGTGGGTACTAGATTATGCTTATTCAATACCCTTTCTTAAAAGGGAAACAGAAATTGTTATTAAGTTATTAGTATAATATAGTAATAAATATATAATTTAAAAAACATAATAAATTAATAAATATACAATTTAAAAAATAAACCTAAAAATAAATATAATTTAGAAATCTGCTATTTTTTATGTCTAGGTCCGCCTCTAATCTACAGAGAAGAGGATATAATAATATACATAACCCTACTTATTTTTATTTACCGGTGAAAAGTTAAATTTGGATTTAAATGATACACTCTCTTGTACACAATACATGAATGCACCATATTTTCAAATTAATGTCCACAGAAGTCCACAAAATAACGCAAAAATACTATAATACTGCAAATAAAGAATACGGAGCTTGATCGGCGGCATAGCAACATCGCAACAGGAGAATCTAGGAATTTTCATTCGTCCTCGAAATCCGTTGTACTACGCCGGCATATTTCTAAAACTGACGTTGCCAAACTGCTTTTTATTATTAAAAGAAACACGATCATGATATTTTTATTCCATTATAAAATTTAAAATAGTTAAGCAGTTAAGCATTAAATGAAAAAATTGACGTTAGCAAATTAATGTACTTGATATATTATAGAAATATAACGAAATTATTTATTACTTACTTAATAATTGGTTGTTGTATTTAATCGAATACTAACTAATACCAATATACAGGTAAATCTGGCAAATGTTTTCGGTGTAAGAGAGATGCGAAAATAAGGATAGAATAATGGCCGATGAAGGAAAAAGGTAAACAATTGTATCTCTTGAGTTTAAATATCTTTGATTTTATATAAGGACATGTATGAAATACCTATGAAACATTGGAAACCGACGTTATACCACGATCCACGATGGTTTTTGCAGTTTCCTGTTCACAGCGCAGCTTTTTAAGTTTTTAACCACTTTTTCACAATTATCACGTGTTTGAGTAAATAAAACATAAATTAAACTCACAAGATAGCAATAATTACTTTGAAAATGGACGCTTTAAACACTTTTCGGAATTTTTTCAATGAGAGCGGTTTAGATTTTATAATTTTTGAAGATTCTGACTTTGACAAGAGATATGGATAAGAGAAAATTATTTGTGTTTGTTTGCGGTTGTTCTTAGCAACCGCTATAGCAGCGCCAGATCGCGTACAACGGTCGCTACTCAAAATTTTGACGGGCATTCCAATCTAAATTTATTTCCTTTATCTATGGGTATCACACCACTATTTATTTAAACCAAAAACTCGTAATATTAAACTAAAGTGTGAAAATGAATGACAATGTCAGGAAATAAATAAATGAATTTGGCAACTTGACACTTTTTACAGCAGCGCTACCACCTGAATCCCTAGCGGGAAATTTAAATTCCAGTTAGTCAGCCCGGCGCCGAATATATCCATGCTTGACAATCATGAATTTAAAAATCGCGCTCTCGATTATTGTAACTAAAAGTTTAATTGGTATCGCTTATACTGTGTCCCAAACGTATTAATACAACTATTTCCTGGTTTAGTACGAAGGAGGTGTGCTGGAAATGTTCTTGACAGAAAGCCAGAAGCACTACTACACTGCGATGAAGAAACTAGGAAGGAAAAAACCCCAAAAAGTGATAAAGCGACCGATGAACGCTTTTTTAGCCATGTTCTACGACCTCTCCAATTCCAGACGTTTCGAAATCGCCATATTCGTTCTCATCTTCCTCAACATGCTGACGATGGGCATCGAACACTACGGTCAGCCGCACCCTATTTTCTTCATTCTGGAAGTTAGCAACGCTTTTTTTACTACAGTATTTGGCTTGGGTGAGTATACAGGCTTTTTTATGTATTGTATTTCATATAATAGTTGTTTAATACTTCTTTTTTTTCAGAGGCCATAGTAAAAATGATAGGATTAAGATACCACTACTTTACAGTGCCGTGGAACGTCTTCGATTTTTTATTGGTCTTAGCCTCCATCCTGGGTATTTTAATGGAAGACATCATGATCGACTTTCCAGTCTCTCCCACGTTGCTCAGAGTCGTCAGAGTGTTCAGGATAGGAAGGATATTAAGACTTATTAAGGTAAAGATTGAAAATGTCAACCGACAATATAATCTGTTTTTTTTTCTCCGGTAAGATTTCGACAGACGATGACAGAAAAAAAAGCAGATGACGTCCATATCAAACCGTTTATTTCACTAAAAAAAAGTTTCTAATATTTTTTAAGTTGTAACTATGGATGGATTTATATACCGTGCTGGCAACTGTTACTTTTGTATCGGCATTTACATGTGTGGAAGTAAATCGCATAGGGATCTTATTAAGTCGGAGTGAGAGAAATGCGACGGTGTGCTGTTGCGGCGTTGCCGGTACGCCTTTCCCTATCAAGTAAAGTAAAATCACGATCGCAAACCGCTTATTTTTAAAAGACTTTTTCTTCAAGAGATAACTAGATAAAATCATTAGACATATTTCTGAGCATCTGAAATGGAATTATTACTTACATGTTTACTGTCCTCTCTTTGTTCAGTATATTATAAATGCATTGTACTCTTCTTACATACGGAAATCTCGACCCAAGACTAACTTTTGCCAGCCCTTAGTATAAATCCGTCATGCGTCAGCTCTTGTTGTTTTTAACCAGTTTTATTGGTTTATTTCAAAAATGACAGTTCATATTTCATTATTATTGGTTTGACGGAACGATGAACGACAAACGGACGCCGATGCGTATGAACTCCAAGTATAAACTCGACTTTAGATTTTTGAGAGTTGTCAAACTCTTGCCAAATTATAGGTTATAATTTTGTGTCAAATTATGTCAAATAGAAATAATAAAAATTTTGCATTTTGGACTGTTATTACGTGTGTTTCGTGTTTTTTTATTTTTTTTAGGACAGACTATAGTTGAATGTTATTCATATGGTATTAGGGTAAAAAACTAACATCATATTTTGTGTGTATTTTAGGCCGCTAAAGGTATACGAAAGCTGTTATTCGCTCTGGTTGTTTCACTGCCGGCCTTATTTAACATCGGAGCTTTATTATCACTTATCACCTTTATCTACGCCATTATTGGTATGTTTATATTTGGCCACGTTCGACAACAAGGTAAGAATCAAAATTAAATCTGCTACTTATATATCATATTTTTTCTATAAATAATTATACAAAGTTGAAATTTTGGGTTGCAATAGCGGCAGATTTTCTTGACAGAAGCAAAAATAACTGATGTAGTCTCCGTTTGTCAGTCTAATATTATATTATATCTTCTATTATATCTGTGAGGTGTAGGGTGAGTCTTAAATAAGTGCAAGTATTTTCAGGGCTGGTAGATCTCGATAAAAGAAACATATTTTCTTTTTACCCTTTTTCAAATAAGTCCAAAATATCGAAGGTTTATTTTACTTTGAAAATTAAAAAAAAAAAGTCTTTTGGTTAAATTTTGAGAACCACTGGATCTTTTCTGTTTTTTTTTTCTTGTAAATTATTAAATTTACAAGAAAAAAAGAACAGAAAAGATCGAACTCTACTACCTATGTTGCCATATTATCAAGAAATTATGTTTTTTTACTAAAAACTAACATAATTTCCAAAAAAAATCCAAATTTTCAAAATATTTTTTTTTCGCAAAAAAAACTCATAGAGGTGATTCTGAACTCGAACTATACTACCCCGAAAAATATTTGCACTTTTGCATTTAACACTCACCCTGTATATTTAGTTAAATATTTTGAATAAATTAATAAGTTTAATAAGTTTTTTATGAAAAAAGCGGGACAAATTTAGCCAAGCTAGTCAAAACTAGCTTGACAGAATTACAAGAACTGGAAAGAATAGGACCATTATCTCTGTTCATATTATCTTTATATTTATTTATTATGACGCATTCATATGCATCTAATTGCCTGTAATGTGAGACTTGTTTAGTTAATTTTAAATTATTAATGAACTTTATCAAAAATATGTCGAGCAACGCATGATTTATCAAGCGTTGTTTTTTTATTTTTTTTTTATTCTTTTTATTTTTTTTTAAATACCCGAGTTTTCCAGTGGAGGTGTTTTATCTTTAAGATTGTTTAATAGTTGTTGAAATTTATTATTAGTTGAAATTTATTATACAAGTTTATAATTGGCATTCTTGAAAATTCTTTTAAAACCGCGAGATAACCCTTTATCAAACCGTACTAAAATATACAGTTCATACCAAATAAGCTTTTAGTCACGTGATTAAGCTTGACCGGCACAGCTCTGCCCACTTTTACATATTTTCTTTTAATCAAAATATTTTAGGAAACAAGAATAAATTAATTATAAATATATAAACAGTTATTATTTACATCAACCAAACTCACCTTCTTAACAACACTTAAGGGACATAAAGGGTCATTACTACCGCTTTCCCGTTCAAAATATTCTTATAAAGTTGCGATGAGTTTTTTACTACTATTAAGCTATATTGTACAGGGTGGGTCAAATTCGATGCTTTTAAATGGAAACACCCTTTTCTATAGGAGATAGACAAAAACTAATATCGGTGTCTGGAGCTCAATTTTTGTCAAAAACATGATGGTGAAAACCACATATCGATATCTGTTACCGTTTCGGAGTTACGGGGTGCTTTTCAAAAATATGCATTTTTAACAAATCGCTGTAACTTTTTTGCTATAGAAAATTTTGTATTTTTATGAAAACATTTCCAAAGCACCTTTTTACATGGAATTTAATGGTTGAAGTATGTTTTTTTTTAAATTAATAATTTAAGAATTATCAACAGAAAATTTGATTTTTTATATGGGACACCCTGTATATTTTTAATTTAATGAAAACAATTTAAAATTACCTTTCCAAAAATATAACACACTTGATATTTTGCTCGATTCCTCTTCGAGATATAGAGTATATAAAAATTCGCCCGCTTTAAATAAGTAGGCTTTGAACGGCACCGGCTGTAATGCAAAAAAATTCTAGCTGTGAGCATCAATTAAAACAAAAATAATATTTGCTGTGAGAGATGCAGAATTCTATGACAATTTAAAATATATTTAACCAACATCAACACATTTAAACTATATCTATTAACAATAAAAATAAATAGCAAACCAAGACATCAGATTTTGCTACAAGTGTTCGACATATCGACCCTCTTCTGTTATGGACAGACGGGACAGTTTTTGAAAATTTCTTGCGGAATTCATTAACTCAGTGGGGGTGAAAGATACCCCCTCATAACTGCTAAGTATTTTTAATTCTTGTCTAGATTATACGGAAGAATAAGGAACCTTTATTCTTCCGCAAATATATCCATAGGATTAGATCCATGGGCACTAAGTCAGGCGGCCTCGACGGCCAACGGCTGGGATCTTGGTTAGCTATCCAATTATTCTTGAAATTGGCTGCAAAAATTTGCTGCTAACTTCAGCTTTCAGAGGCGATGCTGTTGTCTTGCTGGAAAAATATGTTTTCGAGTTCCATTAAGGGCATATCATCAATAAGGGGTCCAAAGCCTAATAGTTAAAAGTGGCGAACTTTTAAAAATTCTGTATTTCGAAGAGGATTATAACAAAATATCAAGTGTGCTATATTTTTGGAAAGGTAATTTTAAATTCTTTTTTAGTTAATCAAAAATATAGAGGGTGTCCCAAATAAAAAATCATTTTTTCTGTTGATAACTTTTAAATTATTAATTTTAAAATAATTATACTTAAACCATTAAATTCTACGTAAAAAGGTGATTTGAAAATGTTTTCATAGAAATACAAAATTTTCCATAGCAAAAAAGTTAAGCGATTTGTTAAAAATGCACGTTTTTGAAAAACACCCCGTAACTCCGAAACAGTAACAGATATTGATGTGCGGTTTTCACCATCATGTTTTTGATGAAAATTGAGCTCCAGACACCGATATTGGTTTTCGTCTCCTATATAGAAGGGTGTTTCCATTTAAAAGCGTCGAATTTGACTCACCCTGTACACTTGCCACTAAAAGAGGTTGTAACAATGTTCGACTGCAAGGTCTGCTAATAAACATGTTTAAACTTAAAATATCACACTATTTATTTAAACCAAAAACTCGTAATACTAAACTAAAATGTCAAAACGAATGAAAATACCATGAAATAAATGGCAACTTCACATATTTTACAGCAGAACTACCACCTGAATCCCAAGCGCGAAATTTAAATTTCAGTTAGTCAGCCCGTCGCCGAATATCTCCATGGTTGGCAACAATAAATTTAAAATTGCGCCCTCGATTACGTAACTAAAAGTTTAATTGATATCAAATATAGTTTGACGCGTCCAGTATATTGTGGTGAATTAGTGTTTTATTACGCTGATACTTTTTCAAATAATCTTTATGAAAATTCGATTAATATACACATTTTTAACAGTTTATTACTTTTTTCCATAGCAACTGTTAAAATTGCCCTATATCTATCAAAAATAGTAGATAAAATAGTACTCTAACCGCAAGGGTAGATTAAATGATACTTTAACAGCGCACAGTGCTCCTGAATGGTCGGCAGGTTTCTCTTTAGTGGCAGAAAAAACTATTGACATATCTTGAGTAAGGACACCTTCTTAAAAATATATCTAATAACCTTTAAATCGAACCTGCTTCTTACTGCGTTTTTTAGCGATTTTGTAGTTTTTAAGAAAATGGCATATAAAATTAAATTCTATGAGGGTTTATTTTATTGATAAGCTTCAAGGACATAACTTTTTTCTATTATAAATAAAATATCTGATGACTAACACAAAAATAACATTTCCTAACACTATATTAAGATAGAAAAAAATATTATATAATTATTCTAAATTTGATTCTAATAATAATAATAATAGCTCCCGTATGTAGCGTTTAACGTCTTGGGAGTAACAAGGTACAGCTTGCCATGCTAGAGCCGTTCGGTATACAAGGAAGGTAATGTGGCTAGCACTACGCTTCAACCGCCTATTAGGGTGACAGCATTTTCATAAGAGGATGAACTACTTAATGATGCTCTTTCAGCGTCAACTTTATTCTTGATTATTTTAACAGCAATTTGCTCTCTTGTTTTGTCTTCTAGAGATTGTATAACACTCAAAGCTTTATTTTTAACGTCAGAGCATCTTTAACATTAGAGCATCTACGTGGCAATCCTTTCCCAAGTACTTGTAAACATTTACTACAAACTTTTTTACTTTTTGGGCATTTAAAGTTACTATATCTCTTTTTGTGTCCAACGTAACTAGCTGTTTTGCAAATAAAACAATTACAGTCGTCACTAGATTTCAGTCGCGTGTTTTTTTACAACTATACTTTCAAAATTCGTCATTACTGGTAGCTGTCACATATAGACTTCAGTCTCATTTTTCCTTTCGCTCAGTAAATGTCGACAGACATATTGACACTGGAAATCTTGAATCATTTTCATGGAAGTTTTTGTTTAAATATTTACACATCAATGTTTTTAAACTTTTAGAAATTCTAAAGTCGGATAAGTATGATTTTCCAAAAATATTTTTTTACCGCACCTTGGACACACTTTTTTTCTATTAGCTTCGTGGTCGCACTTGCAATTTAGGTTAGTTTTCATTTTTAGATTTTGAACACACTACAGAGACAAATAAAGACTAAATAAATCCATATAGTGCCAATGCGTCAAATAGCGAACAAAAAACTCATTTATGCCGAGACCATGGCTATCTTTGATGCTGTCGGGGCTTTTTTGCGATAAAACGTTATTTTTTACTTACAGCGTTTTCAATGGAGCTTTCGATGGAGCGGACTGTACGCGCGGATGTTTTTTCAATATAGCTCATCCGAACGGAGCATACGCGACCCATGTGAAATCGTTCATATAAACTCATGGTACTTGCTCGAAGTCGCGGACGCTCCGCTCCATCTGAAAACGCTGTTACAGCGTCTTACACAATAAAATAAACCATCATAGAATTAAATTTTTTATACAATTTTCCTAAAAAATACAAGAACACTTAAAAAACACGGTAAGAAGCAGGTTCGATTTAAAGGTTATTAGATATATTTTTAGGAAGGTGTCCTTACTCAAGATATGTCAATACTTTTTTCTGCCACTAAATAGAAACCTGCCGACCCTTCAGGAGCACCGTGAGCGAGGATAGGTTAAAAACTTTATTTCTTCTCGCACGTTTTTAATTGCTTCCATTTTTGAAAAATGTTGTATTCCTTTTCGTAAGTTATTCGAGGTTTAATTTTTTTTTGTTTGGATATGGCGTTTGTCGCCTCAGCCTGAATATCTGTTGGTAATTTACTTATTTCGTTTTGAGCCATTTCTGGCTCCAATTCAATCAGCAATCGACACGAAAGAGAATTAAAAAATATTGACTCAAAACCATAGATAAATGAAACAAGTTTAGATTGGAAAGTGCCCATAAGGACAATGTAAACACTATTTGGCGCTGTTCTTGCAACGGTCGCGACCCAAAACTTGAAAATTTCGGAGCGGTTCGGCTTTTTCCGGAATTATATCGCCCATATATTGTTTATTCAAATTTATTATTATTTTCGTTTAATTTTATAAATAAAATACAGTGTGTTGCATACAAGAAACTTTATTTTATATAAGGACGCATGTATGAAATACCTATGAAACATTGGAAACCGACGTTATGCCACGATCCACGATTGTTTTTGCTGTTCACAGTTCACAGCACAGCTTTTTAAGTTTTTAATGCCACTTTTTCACAATTATCATCGGTTAGAGTAAATAAAACTTGAATTAAACTCACAAGATAGCAATAATTACTTTGAAAATGAACGCACTTTTCGGAATTTCTTTAATGAGAGCGGTTTAGATTTTGAAAGATTATTATGATTTTTAAAGATTTTGACTTTGACAAGAGAAAATTATTTCTGTTTTTGTTTGCCGTTGTTCTTAGCGACCTCTATAGCAGCGCCAGATCGCGTATAACGGTCGCGACTCAAAATAATTTCGCGACCTAAAATTTTTACGGGCTTTCCAATCAAAACTTGTTGCATTTATCTATGCTCAAAACTGACAACTAAAGAGACAGCTTTATTTATTTGTCAAATTACATAGAAACCAACGCCAACCCAGCGCAATATTTTTTCTACTCGTAATAAATTCCTTGAAATAATAATTTCTCAATATTTTTTAAAGCGTAACTCGCTATGGAAAAAAAATATTGTTTTATACACGACGATAAAATTGCATTATCGTCTCCCGAAATTAATTCACTCGGGATTTCATCGCTCGTGAATTAATCTTTTCGGTCGACGATAAAATACCATTTTATCGTCTTGTATAAAATATAACTATAAATAACAAACTCGGCAAATACCAAAGAGCAATAGGTCTACTTGCTCTCAAATTGCAGCCAAATTATACTTACCTTCTATTTCTCTAAGGCGCATTGGACGACATGGTCAACTTCGAAACCTTCGGCCGTTCCATGCATCTGCTCTTCCGCCTGATCACCTCGGCCGGCTGGAACGACGTGCTCGAATCCCTGATGGTGGAGTACCCCGACTGCGATCCCCACTACAAGAACCAGACCAACGGCAACTGCGGCTACCCCCTTCTCGCCATCATCTACTTCACCAGCTTCATCATCATCAACTACATGATCGTCATCAACATGTACATCGCCATCATCTTGGAGAACTTCAATCAGGCGCACCAGGAGGAGGAGATCGGAATCGTGGAGGACGACTTGGAGATGTTTTATATCCGTTGGAGCAAGTAAGTCTAATGTAGGGGAGAACCTTCTGTAATGCTGATAATTTAAAAACAGTTATACCGGGTGCGTCTGAAAAGTGGCTTCACCGGAAATGACTACAACTTTTGATTTTTAAATGACACCCTCGTTATTTTTTACTTTATTCGATAGAAAATGACACTCTGAACAGAATGACATATCAACATTTGACATTTTCTTATATCGTCAGTGAAACGTGATAACCTGTTAACTCCATTTTTTACGTAAGTTTTTTTATACCATTAGAAAGAGAAGAAATACTCTATAAATAGGGAAAGCAAATACATTTTTTCCCATTAAAGAAAATTTGCTATTTTAACTCAATAATATCTGCTAACTCCCAGTGATCTGAAATAGCCACCGAAATGCTGCTATCTCCATAATTTCCGTTACGATCCCGCTAAAGCAAACACATGGATTCTTACTCGTATGTTTCTTTAGTACAGTACGTCGATCCAGGGTGGCACTAGGCCAAAGGGGCCCGGGTGGCAATGTAAGGAGGGGCCCGTATGGATTTTTTTTGCGTATTTTTTCGCCTTACCTTACCTTTTTGGTCAGTTTTTCCCTATTATATACAGGGTGAGTCTTAAATAAGTGCAAAAATTTTTAGAGGTAGTATATTTCGACCCAAGAAACACGATTATGAGTTTTTTTGCGCGAAATATTTTTTTGGAAATTTGGAATTTTTTTTTTTTAAATTTGGGAAATTTTTTTAATTTTTACTTTAAAAACATACTTTGAAATATGGCAACATAGGTAGTAGATTAAATTTGCAAGAAAGAAAATCCAATGATTGTCAAAATTATAGCAAAAAATTGGAAATTTTAAAAGTGAAATAACTCGGTTGTTTTGGATTTATTTGAAAAATCGGTAAAGAGAAAATATTATGTTTCCTTTATCGAGATTTACCAGCCCTGAAAACGTTTGCACTTATTTAAGACTCACCCTGTATAGAAATCAGGGAACTACCTTAATGCAAGGTAAACCAATGCAATGCAAATGCCATAATGTACTGCAGAAGCAAATATTGTTAATAATAAATAATGAACTATAAAGGGGGCCCGCCAAGGCTGGGCCCCGCCTAATAGTTGTTTAAACAGGGTGTTTCACAACAAATGCGAAAAACTTTAGGGGGTGATTCCTTGTTCAAAATAAAGGGTAGTTTGCTTTATAAACGTTGGGTCAAAAGTCAACCATTAGGGAGATATCGCGGTACAAAGATGGCGGAAAAATAATGTTTTTATTTTTTATCTTGAAAACGAAAAGAGATAGGCTAATGATATTTTATGGAAGCATACTGTTATGAAAACACACTTTTAGGTAATTTTTTTACTTTTTTAAAATGAGTGGAAGGGGTTGAAATAAACTACCCCTATCATTCTTGTTAACGAAATTTAAAGAAAAATATTATCAAACACATGCAAATACTTTAATTTGGATAGTTTAGTTGGTTTAGAAACTTTTTTACCTCTTGTGTTTTTTTGATAAAACTCACCGATTGGAAATTAAAAAATAAAATGTAAAGCATTACATGTCAGGACAAAAAACATTTTTAGATTAAGAATCTAGTGATAATAACGATAATAATAATCATCTAGATAATAACGTATTGCAGTAGAGTAATGTCAAATAATATAATATTAGGAACATCCTAAAAAGTAACAGCGGCCGACTAGATTTTTTCCTAAAAAAATTACAGCAGCCCACTAGATTCTTTATCAGAAAATGTTTTTTGTCCTGACATGTAATGCTTTTACATTTTATTTTTTAATTTCAAATCGGTGAGTTTTATCAAAAAAATACAAGAGATAAAAAAGTTTCTAAACAAACTAAACTATCCAAATTAATTTTTTTGCATTTGTTTGATAAGATTTTTCTTTAAATTTCGTTAACAAGAATGATAGGGGTAGTTTATTTCAACCCCTTCCACTCATTTTAAAAAAGTGAAAAAATTACCAGAAAGTGTGTTTTCATAACAGTAATGTTTCCATAAAATTTTATTAGTCTATCTCTTTTCGTTTTCAATATAAAAAATAAAAACATTATTTTTCCGCCATCTTTGTACCGCAATATCTCCCTAACGGTTGACTTTTGATCCAACGTTTATGAAGCAAACTACCCTTTATTTTGAACAAGGAATCACCCCCTGAAGTTTTTCGCATTTGTTTTGAAACACCCTGTATACGAGCAATTCATCGGCGTGTTATAAATAGTTTAAATAACATTACTTAGTTGTACAAGAATTTCCATAATACCTAATCAATTTTTTTTTCAACGTTTTTCCACGTAAATCATACATAATTTTTATAAAAATTAAAAAAGTAAGGAGAAAAGTAATAACAATTTAAAAAAATACGCACTCTTTGTCAAGCTCGGTCTACTACCGTTGTATAAAAATTAGGAAGGATTGATTCTACCATATCTTCTAAGAATTATAAGTTTAATTTTTAAATTATTTTCATATTCATTAAGTCCAAGATGCTGCGACTTCAGTTCTTTAAAAATGCATTAAAAATTTATTCGTTTTTTAACTTATATGTTTTGCTTCTAGACCGACGATATTCTAAACATATGGTTATGAATATCATATTTTTTAAATTTAATTCATTATTTCTAAATCTGTTTAGGTAATATTCAATTACATTTTCAAAATTTCAAACAATAAAGGTTGCTATCTCCAGAAGTATATTTTTATTTCTTATTTCTGCAAGACGAATATCTGCTATCTCCATATTGTGTCTGAAAAAAATTATGTAACACGAAATATTGAGAGTTATTGTTCCCCAGCAAATAAAATTCTTATCTCTTTATCATATTAACGCATGAAAATACTTCCTACATGTGTACATATTTTTTTGTACCGTTTTTTTGCTCTCCTGTAAAATTAGGGATAATGGAGTTAGCAGTTTATCACATTTCACCGACGATATGGTTTATTTGAAATTGTAACATGCTGTTCATAACGACAATTTGACTCGAAATACCAAATGTGTGGTACCAAATCATTCGTAAAAAAATCTTTTTCCAAATATGCTAATGAGCCACCCTTGTTCCATGTGAGAAAATTGAGATATGGTTAAAAATACCATTTAGGCATCTTTTAACCCATTGACAATCAAAAGTTTGTTCTTAATTAAATCAAGAAAAATATTTGATTTATCTCCGTCGCAAGACCTGAGAAATTTCTTACCTTCTTCGAAAACTTCTTTCTCCGACTCATTCTTTCCGACTTATCCAAATATGTAAAGATACTGCCGTTTTGTAGAGGAGAAAAAGTGACAAAATTTCTGTTATTCTGATATACACTACAGATACTATAACTATATTCAGGTTTACTGAAAAAAATTATATATTTTCTTTTATACAATCTGCGGACAATGGTAGTGCACATTTTATATACATAATTTTACCGTATGATCGAATAAAAACGGCGTCAGCGATGGCTATGAAATGAAGATCGCTGTCATTTTATATGTAAATTTATATAGGAAATGCCATCGATCGTCATTTCCAAGCCAACTGGGCGCCGTTTTTATTCGATCATACGGTATTTTTTAAGTAAACCCTAAATAAAATAAATGTAAATTTCAGATACGATCCTCATGCTACCCAGTTTATACGATTCTGCCAGCTGTCCGATTTTATAGCTTCTTTGGATCCCCCTCTGGGTATACCGAAGCCAAACACCGTAGCTTTGGTTAGTTTTAATCTCCCCATAGCTAAAGGAAACAAGATCCACTGCTTGGATATTCTCCACTCGCTGGTCAAACATGTTTTAGGTCATGTGGAAGAAACTGATAATTTTAGACAAGTGAGTATAGATCATTTACCTATCCAATTGTCTTTCTATAATACCTGGAAACGTTCCTAATATTGTCTAAACTTTTTTACAGCTTCAAGAACAAATGGACATTAAGTTTAAAAAGCAGTTCCCTACGAGAAAAGAACTAGAAATCGTATCATCGACAAGAATATGGAAAAGGCAGGACAAAGCCGCCAGACTAATACAAAAAACTTGGAAAGATTATCTAAGGTAAGATATTGATTTACTGAAACCGTGACTTCTAAACTTCTGCTGAATAATTTTTATTTTAAACCAATGGATGATGTAGGTATATGTTTTTCGCTCAGTGGGCTTGTTTGTAAAATTTCCATTTTAAAAATGCTATTATGTCCTACTACCCATGTAACTTGTGCTACTAAGAGCACAAGTTACTGCCCCGACTTTCCTACCCAACAGGCCAGATTTTGAAAAAGAATAAATGTTTACGTTATCACATTATTATATCTTTTTGTTTGTGTTATGGCGCCCAACGTGGGGTCATTAACTTGAATCGTGTGACAATAAAATCGTGAGGCCTGGTAAACTTGTGGCCTGTAATATTTAAGGTTTATTTTTGAAAGTAAGTTCATATAAGTGTATACACATAATTTTTTTCACATAGAACTTATTTTTCTTGTATTTCAGTTTGGTTACGTGATTATTTTTTTAATTTTTATGGTGTTTTATGTCATTTTTTAGGTTTGAATCATTCCATTCGAAAGAGATAAATATTTGACGTGAAGGTGCGGATTTCAAAAAAATACAAATTTTATTTTCATGTCACATGAAATAAATTATCAATTTTTATTCAGCAGTAATAGACTGGGCCTTTAATATATCAAAATAATTTTTTATAGTCTAAAAAATAAGAAGAAAGCTTTCTTGGGTAATGTTTGGTTATGTTACTTTCATTCTCATCTATGGTTACTTTTAATTTTTTAGATTTATGCGTCATTAGCGCCACTGTAGTTATTTGGTGAACCCTTTTTCTTCTCATTTTTGTGACCACTTTTTCAAATAAAGTCCCATAAGAGATATTTCTCCTCTTCTCAACACTCCATATCGACGAGGCTACTAAGAGCACAAGTTAAATGGCACGTTCCTATCCAACAGGGCAGGTTTTGAAAAAGAATAAATGTTTACGTTCACATTATTTTATCTTTTTGTTTGTGTTATGGCGCCCAACGTGGGGCCATTCACTTGAATCGTGGGACAATAAAATCGTGAGGCCTGGTAAATTTGTGGCCTGTAATATTTAAGGCTTATTTTTGAAAGTAAGTTCATATAAATGTAAAAGCATATTTTTTTATATTGAACTTATTTTCTTGTATTTCAGTTTGGTTACATGATTATTTTTTTTAATTTTTTAGGTTTAAATCATTCCATTCAAAAGAGATAAATATTTGACGTGAAGGTTCTCTGTTAATTTCAGACGAAAGAAGGAGAAAGAACGCGAAGCGGAAGAGGTGGACGAAACGACCCAGACTTCCTCGCCGGGCGGCGACTGGCGCAGCCGCCTCTCCACCTTCCTCCACGTGCACCGGGGTTCTCGCGCCTCATCTCGCAAGTCCTCCCGGGCGTCGGACGCTAGCGACCTCAGCGAGCTGGGCGGGCCCTGGCTCAACCTGCCGCTGCTCCTGCTCTCGGGCGCCGCCAACGTAACGCCCGAGGACCTGGACGTGAGGCGCGACGACTCCGACGCGGTCAGCATCAAGATTAGCCAGGCCACGCCCGACGAGGCGCTAGCCACGCCCTCCAAGGCTCTAACGCCTGGAGGCGGAGGGCCGAGGAGGCGGAGCCTCTACAACTTCTTCCTCCGGCACCAGGACGCGGTCGAGAGGCCGGAGCCGGCCAGCGCGGCCACGTCCCCAGTCACGCCCAGGAAGGAGTTTAAGGGGACGGGTAAGATGAATGCGGTGGCAAGCTGTACAGGGTGTTTCAAAAAACATGTGCTATTTCTCGTGTGAGGAGATTCTTCGCGTAAAAATATGATTGATTTATTTGTTTGCTTTGTTTCTTACCTACGGGGGGTAGAGATGAGCAAAACTGCGATTGCGATTTTAATATTTAAATATTGTACTAGGGATATAATTCTGTTTATGTACCTATAACTCTTAACATTTAAAAAAGTTAATAAAAACCATTTGTTTCTGTATTATTACCATTTTTGTCTTTTTTAACATTTGACAATTTGACTCGAAATACGTAAAGCTTCATTCAGAACCTCGAAATCGGTGGAATAAATTAGTAGTTTCAATTAGCCGTAGAAGTTTGTTCACCTAATTTTAATGTAAGCATTCAGAACGTCATAATTAGTGGACTAAATTAGTGGTTTCAATTACACTTTATACTTTTTAGTTTACGATCATTCACAATGTCTAAAAAACACAATTAAAATTAATAAAATATCCTAGCAACAGCTTGCGGTAGTCTGTTGTATCCATAGAGAAAGCATAATATTTAGCTTATAAAACAATAAACTTTTGATTTCTAATCAAAATTTTTCTTGACGGGTGATAATCAAAGGCCAAAATTACATTCCTCGCAAATTCTGAAGTATAGTTAGTGGAAAAGTTAAAAGTTTGACAACTTTTTCTACTAATTAAAAGTATCTACCACTAATTTTGACGTTCTGAATGCTTACATTAAAATTAGATGAACAAACTTCTACGACTAATTGAAACTACTAATTTATTCCACTGATTTCGAGATTCTGAATGAAGCTTAAATTATTGGAAAAAGTTATTTTTTTTAAAAAATTAAAGGATGCCATTTAAAAATCAAAAGTTGTAGTCATTTCCGGTGAAACAGGAAGTGATCGAAACGAATTGAACACGTCAATCAATCCTAATTTATGTCGTATACTAACATACCAAATCTCGTTTTTTATCAGCAAAAATAAAAAAGTTAAGTCTTGATCCTAGAAAATAATACCTTCTCTATAAATAAATAAAATCAGAAGGAAAAAAATTCGATCGCAGTTTACTATAAAAGGCTTCAATGTACCACAAAATTACTTTCGCAACAAAATCGCAATTTCTAAAAATTCAAACTCGCAGATAGCAGGTTATCACGGTCCTAGTTTACAACATCACAATCGCAGCAAGATCGCAACTCGCAACTATAGTATTATTCGCAGTTCACAGTTTGCGATTTGTTGCTCATCTCTAACAGGGGGTTAAACTCTTCCTTTTCTTTTCAATTCATTATAATTTTTTATAATAAAAGAAAAACATTTTTTGTTGCAAGCTTTTCAAACACCCTGTATTTATTTATTATCTAATTAATTGGGATATTTACAGAAGCACCCGATGTATTTTTTATCCCTTTTATAATGTTTCACAACAAACTTTTTAGATATTTTACATGCGGAAACGGTCAGCGAACCACAGTATGATAAGGATCATAAAATAGGTAGACCTTACTGAAAAAATACCGCATAAGAGTAGAACAATGCTTTATTTTAGATAGAATATAAGGCTTATATATGCTTATAGAACTAAATACATTCCTAATAGTATCTACATTTTTATAAATTACTCGTCCATTAAAAGATATCTATAAAATATAAATATATTATTTATTTGATCCAACTTATTATTTATTTGATCCAAAAATACTCTATATAAACAGTAGGGTGGGTCAAAAAATCGACTATTTTTGTTCACTTTATACTGTGAATAAACAGGTCAAAAAATTCTCTCCAAGTATGAGCTCTTAATTTCAATAGGAAGGCCTTTCAGTTTTCTATTTTTTTATTCCCTATTATTAGAAAGAAAAATTCATATCTCGGTATCTACTGTTTGGGAAAAATATCTCGTAGCATTGTAGGAAATTGAATTTTCTACAAAGAAGGTCTCTTACATTTTTTTTGTAGACCTCACCGTTCGAAAGTTATTAAACGTTGAAGTTTGATTATTTTAAGGCAGATTTCTTTTTTTTATGAATTTTCTAACTCGTTAACAAAAAACGATTCATGGTTTTGTAGGAAATTCACTGCTCTACAAAAATGGTTTCTTATGATTAGTCGATTAATTTAACCGTTTAAAAGATATTCATCGTCAAACTTCATTGCACAATAATTCCAATTTATTTTATGAGTTTCGGGAAAATTTGTACACATTTGAGTTTCTTTCTTTAAAACAAAGAAATGTTTTAAACTTTTTTCTATTTTTTTTTAGTCCTAAGCTTGTTTGGATGCAATGAAACAAAAAATGATTGTAACTTAGAGTCAATGATTCATTAAATTTCGAGTAAATAACATTTATGTGACAAATTTAATATGTAGAATGTAGAATGTTTAGGAGGGGAGTTAATCACCGCGACCTTATAGATCTATTGTGTGTTCCCCTTTCTTGAGTACTCATCATACAGTCACAGGGCTTTAACAAAAGCCAGTATCTGAGACGGCTTCACAGAGGCCAGCTCTCCATCCTCGACATCAGACGTACCAAGGTTCATGGCACGAATGGTCGTCGTCTCGGCGCACTCAGTGATAAGGTGTTCTGGTGTTTCCCCATTTTCCCCACAAAATCTGCATTCGCCGTTGTTTCTCAGTTCCAGCCTACTGAGGTGTTCGTTGAGGAGACAGTGTCCTGTTAGAAACCCCGTGACAATCCGAAGATTGTTTTTACTTAAATCAAGGAAAACCTTTGATTTTTCTCGGTCATAAGTTCTGAGGAACTTTTTCGAGTGTCTTAGACCGTTGGAGGACACCCGTTCCAAGTTACGGATGGAGTCTTCCAGATTCTTCAGTTCCGCTTTCAGTTGGTTCCCGTTTGGAAAACAGAACGGTTCTGGTCCAGTTAGTCGAGTGTTCGCTCCTTTTCTAGCTAGATTATTTGCTTTTTCATTGCCTTCTTTCCCTTGGTGAGCAGGCACCCAGAGTAGGAGGACTTTATTTTCTTTGCCTAATTTGTTGAGCTTCTCTAGGCATTCTTTGACCAACTTCGAATTGATGGTTACTGAGTTGATCGCCTTAAGTGCTGCTTGACTATCGGATAGGATGGCAATTTCCTGTTTTCGATAGTTCCTATCTAAGATAAATTATACGCATAGCGCAAATTTCTGCCTGAAGGATACTGGGGTAGGTGCCAGTTGGTTCGGAGTATTTAGTTTTCGGCCCAAATACTCCTATCCCTGTCCCTGCTTTGGTTTTGGAAGCATCAGTATACCACGTTATGGTATGGTCTTTTATATACTGAGTAAGCGTTTCTTTCTTCCAATCCTTTTTATTATTCAATACTACAGTGAGGTGTTTCTCAAAGTTGTAAATTCTTGGTATGTCATCCACTGGGAGTTGGAGAAGTGGAATTTTCTTTTTGAGGGTGTTCCAAGCCCCTGACCTGAAAATTCTCCCAGTACTGTTTCCATCAATGACCATTCTAATCATTGTCGCATTGGCATAACTACCGACGACAATATGCAGTGATGTTAGGTCTAGAATGACCTCCATTGCTGCTGTTGGACATGTTCTCATGGCACCTGTGATGCAGATACATGCCAGTCTCTACGTTGCTCTAGTTTTGTATACCAAGCAACTGCTCCATAAGTAATCATGGGTCTTACTATCATGGTATACATCCAGCGCAAAATGTTAGGGGCGTAGCTCCACCTATTTCCCGCCAGTCTTCTGCATATCATGAGAGCCTTTGCTAGTAATGTTCTTAATATGCCTGTTCCAGAGAAGTTTACTATCCAGGGTTATTCCCAGATATTTCACTTCCTGTGATGGCAGTATTTCCTTTCCATGTAGATGGATTCTTTTCAAGTTTTTCAAACTTCGCTTTCTGGTGAATGGCACTACTGCGGTTTTATCTGAGTTAATACTCAGCCCGACAGTCCTGCACCATCTCTCAGCGATGCGGAGTCCTCTTTGGATAATATCACACAGGGTGCCTTCATGTTTGCCCCGTGCAATGATGACTATGTCATCTGCATACCCTATGCAGTGTATTCCCGCTAGAGTTAATTCTTCCAGTAGTTCATCCACTACCAAGCTCTACAGTAGGGGGGGAGGTCACTCCACCTTGTGGAGTTCCTTGCGTTGTTTTAACAACTACAGTTTTGGTACCTATCTCAGCCTCTGCTGTTCGTGTTGAGAGCATTTCCCAAAACCAGCGAATTATCGTACTGTTCACCCCTTGTTTCAAGAGATCGCTTGACCATCTTGTGAGGTATATTGTCAAACGCCCCTGCAATGTCCAAGAAGGCACAAAGTGCTGTTTCTTTGCTATCCAGGCTTGCCTGTATTAGCTCAGTTAACTGGTACAGAGCAGTTTCAGTGGATCTGCCAGCTCTATATGCATGCTGACTATCGTGCAGTGGTTTAACCTGTAGATCATTTACTCTAATATGGTTGTCCACTATTTTTTCCATCGTTTTTAATATGAACGATGTGAGACTAATAGGCCTAAATGATTTCGGGTTAGCCCAGTCAGTTTTGCCTATTTTGGGTATGAAGATGACTTTCGCTCTTCTCCAGATGGTTGGTATATATCCCATCGCTAAGCTGCCTCTTGTAATGTTTAATAGATGGAGCGTAGCTATGTAGCACAAACGTGGGGGTGTGAGAATTCAACGTGGGAGTATGAGAACTTCAAGATTGTATGCTAAGAGGAATTCTAGTAAACACTCACCTCTAGTGTTAGTATTAGTGCTTCCCCATACCTCATTGTGCGTATTGGAGTCACATCCCAATAGCAGAGGTAGTCGCTGTTGGCTTCGGAATCGCGCGAGCTCCTCCACTTCCGGAGGCGGTGTCTGCCCATCACCCGGAAAGTATGCAGAGGCAATCACGATATTTTTGCTACAATCCTCGATATTAAGTTGAACCTGAAACACATGTGTAGTTAATGTTGTTTCTTATAAGAATACAGGCTCGGTGAAATTCCTGCCTGTTATCATATATTACACTGGAATTTTTTCCAGACAACCCTTTAATTTGTCCCTGATACACCCAGGGTTCCTGGGCTAGTACCATTACATGTTGGTTTTTCTCAAAGAGTCTTATGATTGTGGCGGAAGACCCTTTTGCATGGTGCAGATTTATTTGGGATATCCCATGCATCAGGTTTCTGGGGTATGTAAGGATCCCCCTGTTGTAGGGAGGACAGGGTATTTCCCATCCCCCCCTGACAACAGATGTTCCTCCTCCAAGGAGTGGTCATCAACCTCCTCCGAGGATATACACCCTTTCACGATTGGAGTTTCGCCATCCTTGTCCTTCACAGTCGAGGAGCTTGTCTCCGGCTGAGGTACCTGTGAGATGGAGGCTGGAGTATTTGTCCCCATTTTCTCCCCCTCTTTCGTTTATTCTTTTCTTGGACCTGATACCGGTACCGTCCCGAATCTATAATAGAGGTTATATCCCCCTTTCTCTATTGCCTCCCTGGATTTGAGGTCAATTCCTATTGTGAGGACCTGACCATGACCCTCCTCCTTCGAGTTGAGGACTCGCCAGCTCGATGTACTCACATTCTCGTTCTGAGCCTGGATAAGGTCTAGCAGGTAGGTGGTGTCTTTTCCCTTGCTTCTTGGCAGAAATACCGTGATGGTTGTCCCTTTAGGGATGTTTTCTCCCCTCATTGCAACCAGTCCCGGCCCCTGCCAATTTTTAAGCTTAGGTGCGTTTCCACCAACCAATCCGCCGATTTTTCAGCACAATCTATGAGGATCATGCCCACCCTAAAGTGTATCCCCGCAAAGCGCAGCTGGCCCACACTTTGTGGATCGTTGCCTCGCAATCCGCTCGCTACTACTTCGTCCAGTATCGCCTCTTCTAGAGCCGTTTGCTGGTCGGTAGTCAGTACAACCTCCAGATATTCCTTTGGCAGCACCGCAATTTTCACTTGTCCAGCAATAGCGGCATAGCTAGTGATACGTCCCTGCTTGCCTCTCGGTGTGGGACGGCTTTCCATCCTGGCTTTTTTCTCTCCCTATCGGAGCAAAGGGGAGAGGTTTTCGCTCCCTCTCTTGCCCTTTGGTGGAGATACGCCAGGTTGTTTCTTGGTTCCTTTTTCAAGGGGAGTTTTGGCTTTTGCTTCCTCCGGAGCAAGTTCTTCGTAGAGCAGTCGGAGGTATCTCCGTGTTTGTGCTCCGCTAAGACCTACTCTCAGCGGGTCGTCTAACCCGTCTGGTTGACCCAAGCCGGGTAGACGTAACGGTAGCTGGTGCCGCTTGTTGGGTCTAGAGGTGGACTCCCGATCCTTACTATAAGAGGTGGTAGCTTGTGAAACACTTGTGGAGGCTGGCCTCGCGCAAGTGTCAGCCGCCTCTCCTGTAGTTCCCTTTGGGAATGGTCCACACATTGGAACTTTCGTTCATAATGTTCCCAGTCTTACTAGGGGGTTTCCCCACAGCTTCACCGGTGGTGTTTTTTATGATTGTTTGATCTCATAGTGTTCCCACGAATAGCTAAGGTTAGTCAGTCCACTTCTACAGAGCCCCGCATGTAGAAGTAGGAGGTAAATACAATGGGGTGCTCCCTGGTGCCCCAAAGGTTGAGACCAGTAGTGGCTAGTCTCTATCTAGCCACGCATCCCTTTGACCTGGTCCCACCATCGTAGGATTTGGGTTTTTTGGTGAGGTTGTCTCCTCTTGGTCCGGGCGGTTAAGCCAAGACCCTCCCACACCCTCTACCCGCGAGACTTGACCACAGACAGTAGAAGGTGCCTGGTTATATATCTTGGTGCAATTCCCTGGCCACGACACTACAGCCAGAGACAAGACAATGAGTGAGATGCTTCTTAGACCAAGCCAAAGTGCTAGAGGTGATTCCCCTCAGCACCTGACCAGGAGCTTCCCCACCAACGACAAGGTCTTGCATCTCCTAGGTGAAGAAATTTAATATAAAAAGTATTGAATCTAGAAGAAAAAAATAATAATTTTTTATCATAAAGTTTTTTTTATTTAATTATCAGCTGAAATATAATTGGATTGGAATTGTTCGAAATATTAATCAAAAACTGTTAAAATTATTGTGCATTGAAGGTTGAAGATGAATATCTTTTAAACGGTTAATTTAATCGACTAATCATAAGAAACCATTTTTGTAGAGCAGTGAATTTCCTACAAACAAATGAGTTGCTCGTATCATAATCATTTTTTGTTAACGAGTTATAAAATTCATAAGAAAAAAGAAAACTGCCTTAAAATAATCAAATTTCAACCTTTAATAACTTTCGAACGGTGAGGTTTACAAAAGTATTGTAAGAGGCCTTTTTTGTAGAGGAATCAATTTCCTATAAATTTGTAAAACGAGATATTTTTTCCAAATAGTAGATATCGAGATATGAATTTTTATTTGGGATTTATTCTTGGTTTTAGGCCAGTAATTTAAAACATAATAATTAAAAGTTGTTTTTATTTTTTACGTACGTTTCGACCATTCTTAGGTCTTCTTCAGAAAATTATAATTATTATCTAGAAACACAATTCAATTTTAAAAATGCAATTAAATAACATTTTAAAGAAAAAAAAACCTTCCCAAATACATGTACACATAACAATATAAAATCATTATAAAATTTAATTAAGTATTACACATAACATATTAAAAAACAAACAACCACATTACTAGTACATGTCAGACTCTAAAATAAATATTATAATATTGAAATATACAGCTTGTTTAGATATTGAACGTCTTTTTTGTCATTAATAGAATGTGAGTTTTTCTGTATTTCGATCATTTCACGGAATTCCCTTTTCTTTTGGCTTACTTCTGTTAATAATATTTTGGTCTCGTTAAAATTAAAAGAGTGCTTTTCCTTCAGTTCATGGTTTGTTAGGGCGGTTTGATTTTTTTTGTCATATTTGTGCCCTTTTATCCTGTTTTCTAGGTATTGGCTAGTTTGTCCAATATATACAGAATCGCAATCATTACAGGGAATCTGATAAACGATGTTACTTTTTTTGTTTTTAGGTGTTATTGTTTTTAATTTGCTAAAGATTTGTCCTATTACATTGTTACCTCGATGACATAGAGTTATGTTATGTTGTTTGAATACATTACTTAGTTGGTGTGACAATCCACTGATGTATGGCAAAGATATGAATTTATTTTTTTTGGCTTTATTTTTGTTTATAATATTCCCGGAGTTGTAAAATTTATTAATTCTATTTTTAAAAATGTTTTCTATAAGTTTATATGGGTAATTGTTTTTCTCCAAAGCTGTTTTCGCTTTGTTTATAGCATTTTTTCTATACTCGGGATCGGATAAACTTATTGCTCGGTCTGCTAAGCCTATTACAACAAATTTTTTCTGTGACATAGGATGGTTTGAATTGAAATTTAGATATCTTGAAGACCATGTCCCTTTGGTGAACCATTCTGTCCTTAGTATTCCATTTTTATGGTGAATTGTCACGTCTAAAAAGTTGATCTTTGATTCGACCTCTACGTCCATTGTAAATTTGATGTTGCTGTTGTATTCCTTAAATTTATCTAGAATTCTGTCCATATAATCTGTTGGTATGGCCGTTAAGCAATCATCAACATATCTGAAAAAGAACGGAATACGAATGTCTAGTTTTTCCAGTACACTTTCTTCTAAATCCTCCATTACTATCTGAGCCACAACGCTGGAAATTGAAGCACCCATAGCGCAGCCATCTATTTGTTGGTATATTTTATTATCGTAAGTAAAATACGTAGATTTCAATGTTGTTTCGACCCCTGTAATGAACTCATCCTGTGGGATGTCCGTATATTTTTTATTTGATCCCATTTTTTTCTTATTATTTGTGAAGCCAAATCGCTAGGAATGCTAGTGTACAGTGAAGCAACATCCCGGGATATTAGCTTGTAACCGTTTGGTATTTTGAGATTTTTAAGTTTTTGTTTGAAATGTTGCGAGTCCTTTAAATAATATTCGTTTTTATATGCAATGTTACTTAATATATCCTTCAGGTACTTTGATAATTTCTCAAACGGAGATTGCACGCATGACACAATAGGACGTAGAGGAACATTTTCTTTATGCAATTTAGGCAACCCGTACATTTTTGGAGGTATTGCATTTCTAATCATTAATCGTTTTGCTGTTTCTGTAGGTATATATTGATCATTTTCCCATTTTCCGACAATATCGTTATTGTTTTTTTGGTAAATATTTGTTTGGTCTCTGTTGATTTGTTTGTAAATTTTTTTGTCGTTCAGTAAATCTTCCATTTTTCTGTTATATTCATCGGCGTACATAACTACTGTTTTGTTTGTTTTGTCTGCCTTCAAGATTTTTAAATTTTCGTTTTGTTTTAGATATGTTTTTGTTTTTGACAAAAATTTGTTTGCTTTACTCGGTTGGTTGTTTTTGTTCTTCATTCTATTTTTAAAGTTAGTTAAAATGTTACAAGTCTTTGCCCTAACTTGTTCTTTTTCATTATTTGTCAGGTGCCATATCCCAGTTTCAACATTTGACAATATTTCAGCTGTTGGTATTGCCTTCTCATTTTTAATTTCAACTGCGAAATTAGGTCCCAGTGACAAGGTTTCTATCGCGTAATCTGGAATAACTTCGTTTGTCAGATTTTCCACCCACTCGGGCTGAACAACGCCATGGTATCGTTCTTGTTTTGATTCCAATTGATTTATTTTAGAAATATTTTTATTTTTAAGTTTAGTAAAAGTTTTTTCAGTTTTTTCCGTGACTTGTCGTTTGAACTGATCGAAAACATCTTTGGGTATGATTTGAGCTATGTGATTTTCTAATTGTATGTTGTTTCTCTCCATTTTCTTTAGAATCAATGTTGTTTCGGTTATTAGTAAACTTATAATTTGTACAGTGAATTTTGGGACTATATATGTAGAATATTTTCGTTCCAAAGTATTAGAAAATTGTATATGTGTCAACCCTAATTTCAAAAACGAAGGAGTTAAGTTTTTTGATTTGCATTGTAACAGAAATATCCGTCTATTTTTCTGGTTGGCTATTCTCATTAAAGTATTTTCGTAGGACTTCAACGTTCTAACAGTATTCTCTCCATATGTGTTCCTCAACTCGTTGTAAGTAAGCATATTTTTCACCAATGCTGTATATAAATTTATAAATCTAATTTTTTCTTTGACCTTTTGTATATTTATTTGGGATTTATTCTTGGTTTTAGGCCAGTAATTTAATAATATGAATTTTTCTTTCTAATAATAAGGAAAAAATAGAAAACTATGTTTTTTTTTATTATAAAATGAATAATAATTTATGCACAATTATACTTTAAACATACGAAACATTTTTACAAACACACCCACACATACACATTAATAGCACAAGTCCACTTAAACTAGCTACAAAGCCTTTCCATATTATCGCATATGTACTACTTGAACGTAGAAAGCCTTCCGTTTACGCTGATAGATTATTTTCCTATTCCATTATACGCGAGAAAAAGCTAACCACGCCCCATTTATATAGGCCCGCAGACGCTCCATCCGCTGATGGCCGAGGACCCGCCCTCCAGGCGTGGCAGCCTGATCCGGCGCAAGCGCGTCGGGTCGGTCAAGGCGCGTCCCACGTCGGTGACGTCAGTGACGGGCTGCCATCGCTCTCAATCGGAGAAGTGCACGCACAGCGCCGATGTCAGCATTCTGGTGACGGAGGCTTCGCCCGAGGGATCTAGTATAAGGCCTGCCCCCCTCCACAGACAGGCTAGCGAGTCGACGGTGGTACAGGTGTTGGTGCATCGGGAAAGTGAGGAGTACAATCAGGACGACGAGCCGCCGGAGAAGGTGAAGTTATTGGAGGAAAGATGCGAGGAACGCAGTGAGGTGGATAGGAGAGGGAGTAGTACTGCGGGGGACGTTACAGTGGAAATAAGTAATGAGAACGAACTTAGCTGATCTTAACTGGATCGGGTAGATTAGTTCAGGAATTGGTGAGGAGAGAGAGTCCTCCACGAAAGAGGACAATTTCTTATAATTTTACTTCATATACCGTGCTGGCAACTGTTACTTTTGGGTCGGTATGTGGTATGTGTGGAAGTAAATCATATAGGGATCTTATAAGTCGGAGTGAGAGAAATGCGACGGCGTTGCCACATTTCTCCGGTAAGCCTTTCCCTATCAAGTAAAGTAAAATCGCAATCACAAACCGCTTATTTTTAAAATATTTTTTTTGAGAAAATAGCTACACAAAAAAACGCAACGGAGAAATTTTTGGTCATTTTAAAATGTTATATTTCTGTTATTTTTGGCCCTATTTTCATGAATTTTTTAGCAAGCTGTACATAATTATATCAACTTTAATTCGTAAACTAAGTTTTTTTACAAACTTTAGTATTTAGCTTATTATACAGGGTTAATCGAGGGGTTGTTTTTTTACCCCAACTTTAAAACACCCTGTGCAATAATTTTGTATGTGAAAATTTTCCTAAAATATAATTTTACAGTCAGAACCATGACTCCTGAGCATTTTGTTTTTTGATTCATGTCAATACATGCTTTGGTTAATTTTTAAGAGCGAAATGAACTGATTACGATCATATTGCAATTTTTTCAATTATTATTACTTTTTGATGTAATTTTTTAATATGGTTTTGGTGACTCATGTCATATTAATAAACATTAATAACGATAACAGAACTAACGATATTAAAGAAAACATCTGTAATAATCAAGTATACAAACAGAAAAAAAAATTGTAAAAAGCCTCCCTTGGCTGTTATAACTGCCTGTTCATACTGTCCGTTCATACTGTCATTGAAGCTGCATCTATGATATTGCGATATGTTTTCTCATTCTTGTTTAAGGACAAAGCGAAGTTCATTTAATGAAGATGGTAGCGCTTCGCGACCTCTAACTATCCTGACAAGCATTTCCCAAATGTCCAACATGATGAACAGTTCACAGTAGTTCACAATAATCTCCAAAGCCGCCTTGCCATATTGAAAAACAACTTCAAAAAGAAATTAAAATTGAAAAAATTGCGAATTGTTGATGGCCAGTTCATTTCGCCCTTAAAAATTAACCAAGGCATGTACTGACATGATCCAAAAAACAAAATGCTTAGGAGACATGGTTCTAACCGTAAAATTATATTTTAGGAAAAATTACACACGAAATTATTGCACAGGGTGTTTTAAAGTTAGGGTAACCCTGTATAATATGCCAAATACCTCGATTAACCCTGTATAATATGCCAAATACTAAAGTTTATAAAACACCGAGTTTAAGAATTCAATTAATAATTAATTAATAATTCAATCAATCAAGTCAATTTACTTTTAGTGCATAGCAATTTTCAACAATCGTGTAACTTTTTTATTTGTAAAGATTTTCGCATACTGTATGCGAAAAAAATGTAACAGAAATATTAAGAAAGTTTTAGAAAAAAAACTACAATCAATTATTTCTAATGGATTTCGAGATATCGATTTTTGAATCGAACGCCAACTCAGTTCCACTTACTTTTACCAAAAATGCAAGTGTTTCTAACTTGCACTAAAAAATTTACATGCCATAGGGAAAATTACAACGACTCGTTAATAAATAAAGTATCATGAGATGTAATAAAATTGTAAAGCTCAAAGCATGATATACCCGCTGCTCTAGAACTTGATTGGGTCGACCCCGACAAATCTGCTGTATCCTCTTCCTTAGCAATGTGCACATATTCTCGGTTTATTTCATACGTTTGGCAACGTTTTTGCTGTTCTCTCTTTGTTCAGTACATTATAAAGGCATTGTACTCTTCTTACATACGAAAATCTCGACCCAAAACTAACCTTTGCCAGCCCTTAGTATATCACGTAGAGTAACATAAACAAAATTAGGCAGTATTTTGGTAAATTTTGACACTAACCATATCATTTACAGTGATTTCTTGATTCAACTTTTTGTTTTTTGGAGATTTTTGGAACATTCTTCAAGTCTTATATGTAGTGATGGGAAAAACCGATTAATTTCAATAATTGAGTACTCGAGTTTCAAGCGATTGCAATAACCGAGTGATCGCTCGAGCGAAATATCACTCGTATTTAAAAATAGGGTTTTTCACCCGTCGCGTCGTTTGTTGTAAGTACTCGTAAAGGCCAAGCGCCAAGCAGTAAGTTGCGTGCGCAGGGCACATATTCTTTCGATGATGAATGGCAAGTAGCAAGCGGCGAGCGATTCGCTTGATCGCTTGATTTAGTTTATTTCAAAGCGGCGATGTAGGTCGTAAAATTTTGTCTCTCAGATACGCAACGGATAAATATATATACGGCGACGTATAAATTTGCTACTTGCAGTATATGTATATAGAAAATTCGCTCGGCTTTTTATCGAGTATGTCACATTAAAATCGGATTTCAATTTATTTCATTCTAGGATCGCTTGCTTTCGTCGCTTGGTACTCGTCACTTGCATCGCTCGTTCATAATCGAGCGATATCGGTTATTTCAATAATCGAGTACGCAAGCGAATAATTTCGGTCCAGTGATCCCATCACTACTTATATGTGAGTTTCAAATTTACTGGAGACTGCATAGTCTGTCCAACGAGCCGGGGAAGATTTCGACATAACTGTCACTATCAGGAATCCTTCCGTTGGAGACTATACTTCGTTTATGCGTACTTAACATGCGTGATTTAGATCTTAAGACAGCTAAATATCTTATTCACTTTATTCGATGCAAAACCTGCACAGATTAACTTTGTGATATGCATTCTATTGTAGACTAGATACATACATGGTAAATAGAACATGTGACAGTAGAGGAACGCTCAAAGGTATAGAAAAAATGGGCAATAATTACAATTTTAGTGTTCTATTTTCTATGTCAGCAAAATTTGACACTGATGTAAACAAGTCTTAAAAAAAGAGCGAAAAAAACAGCAACCGGAAAGTACAAAAACCATTTACACGTTGCATATTTTCTAGTTTTCGAAAATATAAAGAAATTCAGCATACCTATAATAAAGTTTTACTCAATATTCCTCATGCTAATTCTCGTCATTGCTATCCTTAGATTATATTATAACTAATAACTAGTTAATTTGTGAAATAATAACGTATAGTAAACGCCACGAATGTTTGGGAGTGATTCATCGGTCGCTACCATGTGAACTAATCTGTTCAAGGTCACATAAAACTTAATTCCCGTGCCGTGGTCTTTCAAGTCATATAATAATCAATATATAATCTGTTGTAATTTGTTGTTTTAACTGTCGAAGTCTTGTCAAAACATATATTTGGTTATAAATATAAAATGGAATGCCCCATTGGTCGCACTGCAAGCACACCAATGGACTGACGCTCAAAAACGAATCAATCAAAGAAACGCGATATAGTCTTTGTCAATCACGCTAACATTTTAGAATAAGTAGCAGGAGCGCAGGCAGATGATTAGACCGGGCGTTTAAAAACCTACGTCTGCGGTAAAAATTTACGTTTTTAATGTAAAAATGATAGCGCACGTGTCGATTCTAACTTCATCAAGCGATGAATCACTCCCAAACATTGGTGACGTTTACTTTATGTATTTTTTCCATAGCAACTGTTAAAATTGCCTTAAATCTATCAAAAATAGTAGATAAACTAGTACTTTAACCGCAAGGGTAGATTAAATGATACTTTAACAGCGAGGATAGGTTAAAAACTTTATTTCTTTTCGCACGTTTTTTAATTGCTTCCATTTTTGAAAATTTTTGTATTCCTTTTCATAAGTTATTCGGGATTTAAATGGAAGTCGTTTGGATATGGCGTTTGTCGCCTCAGCCTGAATATCTGTTGGTAATTTACTTATTTCGTTTTGAGCCATTTCTGGCTCCAATTCAATCAGCAATCGACACGAAAGATAATTAAAAAATATGACTCAAAACTGACAACTAAAGAGACAGCTTTATTTATTTGTCAAATTACATAGAAACCAACGCCAACCCAGCACAATATTTTTTCTACTCGTAATAAATTCCTTGAAATAATAATTTCTGAATATTTTTTAAAATGTAACTCGCTACGGAAAAAAATATTGTTTTATACACGACGATAAAATTGCATTATCGTCTCCAGAAATTAATTCACTCGCGATTTCATCGCTCGTGAATTAATCTTTTCGGTCGACGATAAAATACCATTTTATCGTCTTGTATAAAAAATAACTATAATTATTTGTTAATAACAAAATGTAAACTCAGGCAAATTGTGCCTAAAATTTACCATTTTATAATATTTATATCATCATTTAACCACAAGAACAAGAAAGGGTGTCGCCAAGCGAGGGCACGGAGGAGCAGCTGTCCTCTCTAGAGTGTTGGAGTGCAGAGGTAAGGAGCAATATCTTCATGCATTAAAAAATGGCCATAAAAAGGGGAGACTTAAGATGGCGCTGCTGTAGCAAAAACCTAAAATTTAAAATAAGCGCCGAAAATTTTTAGAACGGGAAATGATTCAAGAGATAAATATTTGACGTGAAGCGCGGGTTTAAAAAAAATACAAATTTTATTTTCATGTCACATGATATAAATTATCTATTTCTATTTAGCAGCAATAGACTGGGCCTCTAATATATAAAAATAATTGTTTTATATTCTAAAAAATACAAACAAATCTTTTTTGGGTAAAGTTTGGTTATGTTACTTTTATGCTCTTATCTATGGTTACTTTTCATTTTTTAAATTTACCGACATTAGCGCTACTGTGGTTATTTGGTGAACCCTTATTCTTCCCATTTTTGTGACCACTTTTCAAATAAAGTCCCATAAGAGACATTTCTCCTCGTCTCTACACTCCATACTAGAGTGGTATCATAACCCAAACTTAGCAAATCGAACCGTTGAAAACATTAATGAAAATACACACCAACTGTTACATATCTTTAAAAATCTACAGTAAAGATACATTAATTTCCTGACAAATATACAGGAGGTCCTATTTAAAAGGCCCAAAAATATTAATTAAGAAAAATTAGCTATTAAAAAAGACTTACTACGCCACTGGATGTCGTTTAATTTTGATAAGTTATCAAACAACTGAG